TGAGATTCCCAGAGTCATCCAGATGACCAGGATGACCGCTAGTCATCGGTCGAAGCAAGGTTGTCGTAGTCTGGATGTTTGTTTCCTATATTTGTCCATGATTCTGAATCATGATTCATAGTTCTCTACAGTGTTTTTCTCTCACAAAAAACACACATAAAACGAGAATATTTCTGAATCATGGTTCTGAATACATGAACCAAACGTCAAATGACCATTAGTCGTCATCAACGTCAACCAAAAATCTTAGTTTTTACGAGTAAAATCTCCTCGAGTCTGATCTACAATAACAAGGCTCGCCTCGCAAACTTCACAATGGCGACCCTTGGTTGCACTTGTTGAGTCAAATCTTTGAGTTTGAAATTAGCCATTTTCCTCGAATTATTTTTTAAAACAGACTGCAATTTACGCATCCAAATGGATTTTGGGGGCCATATTGCTTCTTTAATTCACTCTCACAGAATTTTTTTTTTTTTTTTTTAAACACTCTCACACAGAGTTAGTACAAACAGATATTTGCGAAGTGGAGACTAAAAATAAATTACCAAAGAAAATTTACCAACTTTCTCTAAATTGAGAAAAATAGCTATAAATCAATTATTTATCATGTAAATCAATTGAATTTACAGAGCTGTAGACAGTTAATTTTCATTATTTCCTAATTCTTGGGTAACAAATATATGGGAAACGGTACCTCTTGTAAGTATCTCAAAAACTCGGTTATTATTTCAAACACACCCTCAAAACGGCTATTTCCTTAAATCATCTGTCACGTTTCTATCTTTGAGATGTAATAAATTAATTATAATATGGCTTCGTCATCTGCTAAGATAATGTAGAGAAATCAAATAAACAGAAGATACGTTGCTTGAATTGGACCTTAATCAACACCCTTTTGGGGCCCACATGTATGGAAAAAGATGTAAACATCATATTGTAGATGTCAACCAGGATCAATTGGGAGAGACTCTTCCCTTAAATATAAAATTTAGAATCAAATTTAGCCTTGGTTGAGAAGGATTTATAGATGAGAATTATCCGATGGCCGTGAAAGTGTTAAAGTATAAAATTATTGTTGGCCTACCTCCTAACAGCTTAAGCTTTTGGGATGGATTAGTAAACTAACATGGTATCAGAGCGAGAGGTCCTGAGTTCAAACCCCCGTAATTACACTCTTTATCTCCATTTAAATTGTCATCACGTGTTGGGTCTTTAATATATCTCGGGCTTAAATATTCACGTGTTGGGCTTTCTAATTAATTTACTCACACGATTGCCCATTGTCCAGCCCACGCGTGAGGGGGAGTGTTAAAGTATAAAACTATTGTTGGCCTACCTCCTAACAGAAAGACCAGCCTAAGAAATTGATTAGTTAATATATATATATATATATATATATATCCATGCTAGTCTAATAAAGTAGTAACAATAATAGTTCTTAACAAAACAGAAAAGAAAAGTAGTATGATTCTGGGTAGAGAAACAAGTGTAATATATCAACAATATTCAACAATTCCGCTTATCAAAAAAAAAAAAAAAACCATTCCTTTCAATGTTAGTTTATACAAGTAAATAATATATACATATAGGAAATATCGAGTCCGGCATCGTATCAATCCATCAAATGTAATTTTTCTTCATCATTATAATACCTTTTGTACGTTCGTATAACGTTAATGTAACACTTAATAAAATATATTTTATGGCAATATTACATTAAATTTGTTTTAGTGTTATCATATAACACAAAGTTTACAATCACGTGTTGGGCTTTCTAATTAATTTACTCACACGATTGCCCATTGTCCAGCCCACGCGTGAGGGGGAGTGTTAAAGTATAAAACTATTGTTGGCCTACCTCCTAACAGAAAGACCAGCCTAAGAAATTGATTAGTTAATATATATATATATATATATATATCCATGCTAGTCTAATAAAGTAGTAACAATAATAGTTCTTAACAAAACAGAAAAGAAAAGTAGTATGATTCTGGGTAGAGAAACAAGTGTAATATATCAACAATATTCAACAATTCCGCTTATCAAAAAAAAAAAAAAAAACCATTCCTTTCAATGTTAGTTTATACAAGTAAATAATATATACATATAGGAAATATCGAGTCCGGCATCGTATCAATCCATCAAATGTAATTTTTCTTCATCATTATAATACCTTTTGTACGTTCGTATAACGTTAATGTAACACTTAATAAAATATATTTTATGGCAATATTACATTAAATTTGTTTTAGTGTTATCATATAACACAAAGTTTACAAATTCGTAGAAAAAATATTACACTTACTATATATATATATATGAATGTATGTATGTATATTAAATTGCGATTAGTGCTGTCATTGTTGTTTGCGGTTGAAGAAGAGACAATTTATACTTAAGTTGAATTGCACTTTAATTAGACTCTTTACAATAAGCCTTCTTTGTTCGTTGGTGTTTCATTTTTGGATTCCCTATCATTGAATTGGTGGCTCACCTGCTAATCAACTTTGATAAATCAAAAACTTAAGACAAAACCCACTTTCAATATTTTTCTTTTCCTTTAAAAGAAATATCTGAATCCTTATCTCTTTTATTTTAGACAACTATCTAGTTTGCTGAAAATCATGTTAGACCCTACTAATCCCCAATTTTCTGCCGTTAATTAATCGTGGTTTATTTCGGTGGGTATAATGGGTTTGGATTAGTCCTTGCGACCCACCTAAAATTCTTAAATTTGAGTCCTAACCACCATGCAGGAGGGCTGCTCCATCTTATATCGGAATATATATTGTGGTTATGGATTTACTATATGACTTATTGAATCATAATACGTGATTAATTAACTTATTGAATCATAATACGTGATTAATTAACTTGGCTTTTCTTCTTGTCTTCTCCACAAGTTCAGGGTTTTCACAAATTTTGATAGATGCCCTTAACAACTAATCAATCATTTGATTTTGTCGAAACTTTGTTTACTGTCCCCACTTAGATTCTTCCATTTAATCTAAATTTTAATTCAATCAAGGATAGACTGCTTCCACTGTAGCAATTATTATTGGGATTTGGGTCTTCCAAGATTTCTTTTTTTTTTTTTTTCTCTCTCTACATTTTTTTTTCTTTTTTAAAAAAAAAATTCCTTGGAAAGTAGGGCCAGTCATATATAGCTCCAAACTTATTTAACTAGCAACTTCCATAACTCTTTCTTTTAAAAGTAGGAAAACAAATAGTATGCTTTTTGTTTAAACTTTTCTTAATAATGAGTTGTAAATTTTTTTTGGTAGCATAATATAGATAACCCATTTGCCAATTACCTTCTCTTGGTAAACATAGTTTTGCCTTTGCCTTGAAAAATGTAATTACTACTCATGATGAGAAAACACTACACATGCAACGATTATTACATGATAAATTCTGAGATTACAAATAAATCCTTTGACCATACTAAAATCACGTGCATGATAAATTCTGAGATTACAAATAAATCCTTTAATCATACTAAAATCACTTTCTATAGTTTTTTTTATTAGTGTATGGATCTGAATTTTTGTTGTTTATTCTTGATTATATCTCTTTCATTAATATAGTTATTTGATTACAAAAAATATTAATAAAAAATAATGATAAAAATTAAAATTCATACACTTTTAAAAGGTATCTCTCCAATGTCTTGACTCTATAGCATTTTGCTTCTAACATTAGAACAACGCAAGCCCTTTTTGTTTTTGTTTTTGTTTTTGTTTTTTATAATTAACGCAAGCCCTTTTTGTTGATCACAACAAAGTGGGCCTACTGAATTTTACGAATCACTTTCTCAAGTAATGGATCACCGTTGCCCTCGTTAAATCGGTTGGGCCCACTAAGCTAAGCTGGATGCCTACTGAAGTTTACCAATCACTTTCTCAAGCAATGGAACAGCGATGTCCTTGTTAAATTGATTGGGCCCACTAAGCTAACTGGATCGGGACCCACCATTCTTTTATTTTATTTTAATTTTTTTTAAATAAAGAATTTATTTTGAAAGTATATGAGTTTAAACCTTTATCTCTTATTCTTAATAAATACCTTTTGATTAGTGTAATTATTTAACTAAAAAAATATGAATCAAGAATAAAAAGTAAAAATCATTACCTTTTATTTTCTTTTTTTATTAGAAAATGCCAAAACCAAACCCAGATCGTGCAGTTGGTCGTGCGACACGTAGATTTAAAAGGCAAAGAATAATGATATTTACATTTTCTGTATTCGTCTCTGATTTTGAATCATGATTCATAGTTCTCTACAGTATTTTTTTCTCACAAAAAATACACATAAAATGAGAATAATTCTGAATTATAGTTCTGAATTTATGAACCAAACGTGAGAGAAACTACTCTATTAGCCTAATATAATTTATAATCTTCAGATTTTTATTAGATTGTAATAATATTTTTAATTTCTACTTAAATCTTATTTGATTCTGTCATGAGCAAAATTCTCTTCAAAATTAAAGAAAAACATTCCTCTTTTTGTTGCCACGTGATAACATTTTATTAAAGTAATATCCCTTAATAATCCCGGGGGGGTAAGCACAACATTTCCACAAATCCCTTTAGCGTTGAAAAGCCGTTAATCCCGCCAACTTGCGATGTCACAATGAAATACCCAAAATAAAAATATTCTTCACAAAAAACAATAATTATAAATTAAATAACAAAAATATAATATTAAAGAGAGAGCGAGAGGAGTGGGAGAGAGGTCAGCCTCTTCATTGCTTCAACGCTCCAACTCTCTGCAAACCCCACAACTATACAGATATCTATACATCTATACATATTATATTCTCTGTATATAATCCTCAATACAATAATTACCCAGTTGCCCATTTTGCCCTTCATCTTCTCTCGTAATCCCATTCGGTCTTGTCTCATCCTCTTCGTCTTCTTCTACCCTTCATATAAATAAATTTAAGCAAACAAAACAGAAACTCATCTCATTTCTATCCTTCTTTCTCTCTCTATATATACACACACACACACATATATATATTTCTATCTGTACAAAACGCCCAGAGAGCTTACAACTTTGGCATTACCTTGCTTCTCATAATAGCAAAAGTAAGGCTCAGTTTATCATTTATTGCTTTGTTTCCTTGCCTCTTCCTGACACGTTCAGCAACATTTATTAAGGTTGAGTTATTCCTACATTATCGTACTTTTCTTTTTGTATCAGGATTTCTTTGTTTTGTATGTTTGTGCTATTTATTAGCCTTTCTTTGTTTCCTGCATTGCAGCTTAAACGGGTTTGTGTTTTCTTATGCTTTTTGTACGAGGAACTTCATAAATTTGCCATAGAAGGAGGATTGAATTTCATATCTCTTATGGTTGATACTATCTGTTATTTTTATTTCATAATTTGGTCTACAGAATTATTATGCGTTTTTGAATTGAATACATGTTTCATAATTCTTTGTTGTTTGCTGCATTTGAAGAATCTGCTAGCAAGTTTTTATTTTTTTTCCTTTTTTTTTTAATGGTAGTATTGTCATAGGAGAACAAAGGGAGAAAATTGTTATCCATACCCCCTTTTTTTTTTGGCGTTTTAGATGTTACTTAAAAGTAGCATTCTTCCGATTTTTGTTACATTTGAGCACTATTATCACTTATGTAATAATGAAATCATGGCATTGAATCTATAGTATACCAAGTAAATATTTGTTGCAGAACCACATTTTGTAGGTAGAAATATGTGCCCTGTTCAGCATATTGCAGAAGTTTATTGGATATTTTATCAGATAATAGTCATTTTCCCATTGTTTTGTTTAGCTTAGTTTGTTGGTTAAACCTCTAAAAACAATTCATATTGATTGTTCAAAGTTTATTTTTTTATTTTTTTTTTAAATCATACTCAGAGTGATGCCTGGACTAGTTATGGATGCATTCAATGGGGACAGTTTAGTTGATGAAGCAAACGGGGACTACACACCAAGAAAGGAAAGCTTTACACAGCAAGGCTCACCGAGAAGCCCGTTGAGTCCTCAAAGTCCTCAAAGTGATTCCATTGATCTGGTCATTGATGGTGTTATTGACACCTCAATTGAGCAGCTTTATCACAACGTCTGTGAGATGCAGAGCTCTGATCAATCTCCATCAAGGGCTAGCTTCTTATCCTACGGCGAGGAATCAAGGATCGATTCGGAGTTGCGCCATCTTGTTGGAGATATCGACTATGAGGAGGAGGTGACTAAAGAGGTTGTCATAGTAAAGAATGAGGAGGTAACTAATGGTGGTGGTGACACGCCCATTAGTAAAGAAACTGATCGGTCTTCCGCTAAAAAGTCAGCAAAAAAGGGCAAGACGCAACTCGCGAATCCTAAGAAGCTTTCTGTATCGAAAATGGATTTGGGGGCATCGGCTAAATCAAGTCCTAAGAGCAAATCTTCACAAGGTAGACCTCCAATAGATAAGAAAAGTCCAAGAAGACCAAATGGAGTTTTAGAGAGGAACAAGCTGAGAAATCTTGCTTTAGGCAAGGCAAAGCTGAGAAATGGAGAGGAGGACATTCAAGTGGATGATTTGGATAACCCCGACCTCGGTCCATTTTTGCTTAAACAAGCTAAGGACATGATCTCTTCTGGTGAAAACCCGCAGAGAACACTTGAAGTGGCTCTTCGGGCAATGAAGTCATTTGAGAGACGTTCAAGTGAGAAGCCTAGTTTGGAGCATGTAATGTGTTTACATGTCTTGGGAGCAATATACTGCAAATTAGGACAATATGACGAGGCAATTCCAGTTCTCGAACGCTCGATAGAAATTCCAGTGATAGAAGATGGTGAAGATCATGCTTTGGCCAAGTTTGCTGGCTGCATGCAATTAGGTGACACTTATGCAATGATGGGACAAATTGAGAACTCATTACTGCTTTACACGGCGGGTTTGGAAATTCAAAGGCAAGTCCTGGGAGAAAAAGACCCGCGGTTAGGTGAGACCTGCCGATATGTAGCTGAGGCTCATGTCCAAGCATTGCAATTTGATGAGGCTGAGAAGCTTTGTCAGATGGCTCTTGATATCCACAGGGAAAATGGCTCCCCTGCTTCCCTTGAAGAAGCAGCAGATAGAAGACTCATGGGACTTATTTGTGACTCAAAAGGTGACTATGAAGCTGCTCTTGAACATTATGTTTTAGCAAGTATGGCCATGGCTTCTAATGGCCAAGAACTTGGCGTGGCGTCGATAGATCGCAGCATTGGTGATGCTTATCTATCCTTGGCGCGATATGATGAGGCAGTTTTTGCATATCAGAAAGCACTCAATGTCTTTAAGTCAAATAAAGGGGAGAATCATCCATCAGTTGCTTCTGTCTTTGTCCGGTTAGCTGAGTTGTTCTACAAGATAGGAAAGTTCAGAGAATCCAAATCATACTGTGAAAATGCGCTCAAGATTTACAAAAAGCCAAATCCCGGGATCCCTTCAGAAGAGATTTCCAGTGGTTTTATTGATGTTTCTGCGATCTATCAGTCTATGAATGAATTAGAGCAGGCACTGAAGTTACTCAAGAAGGCTTTGAAGATATTTGGTGATGCTCCAGGTCAACAAAACACAATAGCAGGGATTGAAGCCCAGATGGGTGTCATGTATTACATGATGGGGAATTATTCTGACTCTTACAACACCTTCAAAAGCGCAGTAACGAAGTTTCGAGCCAGTGCAGAGAAGAAATCTGCCCTGTTTGGGATTGCTTTGAATCAAATGGGCCTTGCCTGCGTGCAGCGGTATTCGATTAACGAGGCTGCAGAACTGTTTGAAGAAGCAAGAAGTATTCTCGAAAAGGAATATGGTCCATATCACCCCGACACATTAGGAGTCTACAGCAATTTGGCTGGAACCTATGATGCAATGGGCAGGTATTGTTCTAATATGATGTTCTGTCATATCGTTGTGGAGTTCATGTTTCATTCAAATTTTTATAAGTACTAATTGCTATTTGTTAATATCTCTTGCGTTAAACAAAAATATTGCAGACTAGATGATGCCATTGAACTTCTAGAGTATGTTGTTGGCATGAGGGAGGATAAGCTAGGAACTGCGAATCCCGACGTGGACGACGAGAAGAGGAGACTGGCCGAGTTGTTGAAAGAAGCAGGCAGGGCGAGAAACAGGAAAGCCAGATCTCTGGAAACACTACTTGATACCAACGCTCAAGTTGTGAAAGAGGACCGTATGGAGGTCATGTAATTGGTGATGGTGATGTGTATATAGGCTCGCGTGTAATCTATGTGCTGTAGATTAGGTGGTTGGTGCTTGTTTTGTTGGCAAAGTTGGAAGAATAAAGAGAATTAATATTAGAGACAACAGGAAGGAGATTCTTGTCCTTAATTGTTTATTAAAGGTGTCAAAGTTTTTTTTTTCTTGTATAATTGTATCAGACATGATGAGATTTCCTTATCACAATATTGTTATTTGTATTCAGATCTCAATAAAATATTGGTGGAGCATCATTTTCTTTTCTTGGTGCACCAAAAATGCCTGTTGTAGAAAACTTGAACAGCTTCTTATTGCATGAGTTATTAATATATTTTATGGGACTGAAATCGCTATCGTGATCTTCAGTTTGAGGGTTTGTTAACTGAGGTTGACACTTGACGGTTAAAGTATAACTCAAGTATCTTTGCTGTCTGACCGTCTCTATCATTGAATGAGAAGTTTTTAATATGGACATGGACCCACGTTCTATTTTTGTCCAATCTACTCAACAAAGACTCGCCTATCGTGCTTCAAGAAAACAAATATGAAAATAGTTGGGATACTAATGGTGCTTAACACCACAGCTAATAGAAGTGACACCTTTTGGTGTGGACCCACCTTCTAACACCACTGATGCCTCGTAGCGTTGTTGCACAAACATACATGCATCACCAGACTCTTGAATGTGTATATACGTAATATATATATATATATATATATATATGTATGTATGTATGTAATACACACACGTATATAGCTGACTGACTGACTGAGAAGTAGAATTTGGTGAGCAAGACACTTTCACAACGACCTGCAGAACCTTAGAAGACAAAAAATAAAAAAGTAAAAGAATATGTGCTAAAGAAACTAATTTAGCTTATTCTTTCTCTGTCATGGTAGTTGGTGTACAATATTAGCAGGAATCAAAACGACAACTATAGATTTTTTTCAGTACAAACAACACAGGATCGACATTAAGCAATGCTTCAAGCTTTTCTTCCAAATCTGAAGCAAAAAGGACTAAAAAGTACAAAGAAAACAGGCAAAGCATAAATTCTCTCTTCAGGAATAAATATTAATGCAGTCCCTGCAAGAAGTATTCTAGTTTACAATTTCCAAGCAGAACAGCCATGGTTATTGACTCACACGTTTTTTGGATAATGACAAGCTTCCCTAATTGAAACTGGTGGATCAGAGAGAGAACCATTGAGAATGTGTTTAGCAATCCATATATTGGCTGCCTGTGAATAGTGTATGCCATCCCAACTAATGTGCCTTGAAGGGTCCTTACAAGGGTTACCATAAACCGTTCCATTGACGGTCGCTTTCTTCCCACAATCAATATGGTAGCCATAGTAACTCCCACAGCAAAACTCCAATGGATCAACAAATCCTGCGATCAGCAAACCATAAAAGACTAAATATAATGGACCGATATCGCGTTGTCAAAACACAAATGCGGCTAGAGATAAGATTACCTAGATCTTTTGCGCTACTAATTAGCGCATATTTCGCCGAGTAAACATCAACATATGTAAGAACTGCAAGAGGGTGATCGCTTCTTAGCTTTAAAACCATGTCCTTGAGCTGCCTATTGAACTCCTGAGCCACCGCATTCTGAGGTCTCACGCATCCATTTTTGTCTAAAGTTCCTGGCTTTGATTGATAATATATAACATTGTATGGCAAGCAACCTATTGGTCCAGTGTTATGTATCCAAAAAAATCTACCTCCTTCCTCGTATACTTGCTGTAATTTTGCAAAACAAATAAGAACTATTAAGGCTTACTATTCGATTTTTCTCATGCTAATTAACTAGTTGTAGCTTCTCACGTACATGTATTGCTTGAGAAAGGTTGGCAAGGATATCAGGAATGGAGGCTATAACTTGTTCTTCTGTCGTGTGTTGAAAACCAAAGGCCAGATCATTCTGTCCAATATCAAATGTGTATAAAGCCTTTGAGAAGTCCTCTGGCCTAGAAAGCTTGCCTTTGGAGGTTGCTCGTTTTCCTGGTTATCCAAATTTGCCAGTTTTCAAAAACCCATCTTAAACAAGCTTGTCAAATTATGGAAATCTCAAGTAATTAACTTAATGCATAAAAGCACAATATTAGAAATAAAAACTAAAGTTGTGGACTAAAATCTTTTTATAACATGAGAATAAAGAATGTATATTTTAGTCAATATATATCTCCACTACAATTCAATCCATTATTTATCAAATACCTTATTGATAGATCTGAGTTAATTACGTTCAGTTGCTCGAGTAAAATAAAGTGCAGAAAGTAAAGGAACACACAATATGATATCGCAGTTCGGTGCGCACACCTACTCTGCGATATCATATTGTGTGTTCCTTTACTTTCTGCACTTTATTTTACTCGAGCAACTAAACGTAGTTCACTGACCATAAGTTCGGTGAGATCTTGGAGAATTGATCTGTTATGTTTGGAATGGATTTTTTGAAGGAAAGAGGTTCAGTTGTACGTCCCCCTATGCTTGATGGTTCAAATTATTCATATTGGAAGGCCCGAATGAAGGCTTTCATCAAGGCTCAAGATGAGAAAGCCTGGCGTGTTGTTTTGAATGACTGGAAACATCCAGTAACTAAAGATGCAGAAAGAAAAGAGACTCTCAAACCCGAAGAGTCATGGAGCACTGATGAATACAGGTTGTCCAACTACAACTCACGTGCACTCAATGCAATATTCAATGGAGTTGATGTTAATCAATTCAAGATGATATCTACATGTGAATCGGCAAAAGAAGCATGAGAGATTCTGGAGGTGGATCATGAAGGAACAGCCGCCGTCAGACAATCAAAATTGAATATGCTCACAACCAGGTTCGAAACTCTTCGAATGCATGAAACTGAAACTATTTCTGAATTTAATTCACGGTTATGTGATATAGCCAATGAATCTTTTGATCTTAGTAAAAAAATTTCCGAGGCAAAACCTGTCAGCAAGATGTTGAGATCATTACCACAGAGATTTGCCTACAAAGTCACTGTCATTGAAGAGGTGAAAAATACTGAAACTATGAGACTGGATGAATTGATGGGATCACTTGGGACATTTGAAATAAATCTGAGTCAAAATAAGAAGGAGACAGAGATTTCTCAGGGGATTGCTTTCCAAGCCAAAGTGGAAGATAATGTTGAAGAAGAAGACGAAGACTTAACGGAGTCTCTCACTCGATTGACTAAAAATTTCAACATGGTGATGAAGAAGTTCAACGAGAAGAACCAAACTCCAACGATCAAGAGGTGACAATCCGGGAGGCATATGAAAACAGAGATTTTTCAGATTCTGACGGTTCCAGCATTGGTGAAGAACTAACTGAGGAGACAATCCAGGAGGCATATGAAACCATGTTCAACAAATGGGTTAAAATGAATAAGTCTTTGCGGGAGCGAGTCGATGAGCTTATTAAATAGAATGATGTACTTAAAAGGGCTGCTATAAACTATGAATTTTGGGCTGTTGAAAAAGAGAAAAAGCTGCAGGAGACAAGAGGTGAATTGCAGCACACTCAAAAGTCATTGAAGATGATGAATTCGGGCACCTCAAAATTGGATCACATTCTCTCAATAGGAAAAGCGAGTGGTGATCGACATGGCCTTGGCTATATTGGTGAGAGCTCAACGTCCAAAACAATGTTTGTGAAGAAGACGCCTGCCCTTAAGCCTCCGACTTCCTCCAGTAAGAATGTTACTATCTCATCCCCTCGACATAGAAGGTTTGTCCCTACATGTCATTACTGCGGTATACCGGGCCACATAAGACCGAGATGCTACAAGTATTTAAATGCTTTGAAGAGAGGTATGCTCATTAATCCACCAAATTCCACAAACTCAAAAAGGACACCTAACGTGAAGATTAATTTGAAAAATAATTTGTCCAGATGTGTGTGGGTAAGGAAATCTGATTTGAGGTGTCATAAGGCTTATACTTCTTTAGAAGCATGTACTAATGATTATGGATGTAGTGACAGTGGTTGCACTAAGACAGGTGTTAAGAACATTATATATGAAAGAATGCTACATTCAGGGGGAGTAAGACACAGAGAAGATTCAGGGGGAGTAAGCTACAAAGACCAATGCCCTCGAAGATATCTAGTGCGAAGTGTTGCACCGAATGTTCCAACTAATGTTACAACATGATCTGCGACATCAACTGCTGAAGACGTGTCTAGGGTGTGAATTTTTTTATTTTATTTTTTCGTTGTGTCTTTGGCTTATTTTTGTCAAAAAGGGGGAGAACAATGTAATTTTTTTTACGTTTTTGAATTTTTAGGATCATTTGTTAGTTTTGCCAAAAAATGTCAAAGGGGGAGATTGTTGGGTATTTTTATTAGTTGGCAATTTATTCGCAATCTTGTAAAAATTCAAAAAATAGGTTCAAGAAGATTTCAGATTGCGGAAGAAGAATTCGAATCAGATTTGAAGTTAAAGTTGCAGATTTTGTTGAGTTGAGATTTGAAGAGATAAGAATAAAGGCTTGGTCAAAGAAAGATAAGACATTGGTTGAGATTTGGAGAAATAAAGATAAGGCATTGGTTATTTGAATTTAAATGGGAGATAAAACTTGCATGAAGATCAAGTTATTTTCGAATTTGAATTCTTGGCTTCATCCGATTATTGTTAGGAGAGTTGAATGGCTTATATATATATATATGTGTGTGTGTGTGTGTGTGTGTGTGTGTGTATTCACGTGAGTTACACAATTAAGCTTGAGTTGCACATAAGAATTGGAACTTGAAATTTGACTTGGTCAAAGAAAAGTCAAAGATAACTTGCTATAATGAAAGATAAGGCATTGACGTGGAGATGGCTAAGAGAATATTAGATGTTGCAGATAAAGCTGAGGAGAATTTTTTGGTATCTGAATATAGGTTCAAAAGTTGAAAAATGAGATATGTGGAATGGGTTTATATGGGAAGTGGCTCTGCAGGAAAAAGTGGGTCGACTACAGGAAAAAATCTTGAGATAGAGAATCGGTGCTTAAGTAGAACAATCTGTAGTTTATGTTTTTTCTCATTGAAAGTATGAACAACTGAAGGGAGTTTAGCAGTTAAAGGTGAAGACGTGTGGTACACACTAAACAGTGTCATTGTGAGAGTTCATCACAGCGGCGTCATAGTCTAGGAGGGAGCCCTTGAGTGAATAAGTCCGTCAAGGTTGTAATTCTTAAATCATAGTGAAACTGTTTACTGTCTGGGCGTGGTCCCACAGAGTATGTGTGCGCATCGAACTGCGATATCATATTGTGTGTTCCTTTACTTTCTGCATTTTATTTTACTCGAGCAACTAAACGTAATTAACTCAGATCTATCATACCTAAACTCTACTTTGGTGTTCACAACAACTTTGAAAGTTAAATCTCAAAAATGGTCCTAAACTTTACACCAAATCCACTTTGATCTATGACGTTTAAAACATTTTAAAACTGACCTCGATTTATCTTGGTGTGACAAAATTAGTCCTTCCGAATAAGCTAAGAGTTAAAATTGAAAAAAGATAGAAAATAATACTTGAGTTGTGTGTGGTGGACAAATAGATTATTGAAGTGGGTTATAAAAGCTCTTACAGCCCTATCAGATCCTATAACATACATTTAGAGGAAAAACCAGACGGACTACACCAACAACAAAATATAAATACCATTATCAAACCTTATTGAATATGTTAATCCCGCCACGAAAGCCATTGAAATATCCATTTTATCACGTGATCTATTCCATCCAAAATTTAACACATCTGTAACCAAAAAACTTAGACGTTTGATTTATGGATTCATGAATCATTCTTAGATTATGTGTGTTTTTTATGAGAGAAAATACTGTAACGAATCACGAATTAGATTCAAATCATGGTATGAATCTACCAACAAAACGCACGTTAACTTTTCCACAACAAGATAGATCGAGCTCCGGGACCGATGTAGAAATTGGTGTAAAACTTGAGGACCGCTTTTGGGATTAAAAAAATAAAATGCCAAAACGCTACCTAAACTGATTTCAAATATTTCAATAACACAGCAACGCCAAACTGGCCCATATCATCCTAATTATAACGTGATGGAAAGCTGTTTGAAGTGGGAAGAGGAGAGACTGACCATTAATGGGAGTAAGTTGATTGTATAGAGCAGTGGTGTGAGACTTGAACCTTAAGAATTGGTTAATCTGAATGCCCAAATGAAATGGGCTATAACCTCCTAGCCTAATTGATGACCCTCCTGTTGCAAAATTAGCACCATGTCTAAAATCTGTGCCAAGTGAATCCAGATAAGGACTCAGGTATGGCAACTTCAATTCCTCAGCTGCACCAGATTTATAAAAACATAAAAATGTAATTAATTCCTTTCTTTAACTACAATAATCTATCCTAAGCCTTCAATATCAGTGACAAAAATATATTACGAACTTACCAATGAAATCTACCACAAGGCGACCATCAGAAAATCTTCCAGAGGGACTCCCAAAGAAGCTCTCACCATTGGGTGGAAGAACCTCCGACAGTGCTGCGGATATTGCGCCGGTGTCGGAGTTCGAGTCGCCGAAGTTGTACACCGCCGGGAACTTGCAACTCCGGCCGCCGTGAACTGCCGTCGGATGGCCCAACAAGCCCAAAACTAGAAGCCCAACTAGAGCGAGTAGCTTTACAGGATCCATGTTGCTTCACAGTTCACTCACGGCTTGTAGTTGAAGCCAGAACAAGAAACTTATACATAATTTGTCGTTTTTTTAGGGGATTTTACTACCCTTTTTTTTTAATCAGTTAATGTTTTTGTTTTATCAGTTAATATTACTAGTACACAGTGATTGCCTCACAAGCTTGACATCTGTCGGAGTCAGAGGATCATCTTGTTTTTTAATGGAATTCCGTGGCTTTTACATATGATGATGATAAAGCGTACAAAAAATAATGTTGATATGATTAATGATAAGGATCTTTAACCGCATCTCCAATGAGATATTGTTGTCTGTGTCGGTGTCACTAATGGCGTTTATCTGGGAAAGACCTATGTATGTATGTACGTATATGTATGTAGTATGGATACATATGCGTATGTTTGTGTTCTGTCTCTCTCTCTCTTTTTTTTTTTTTTAGAGGGATATTTGCTTTGTAATTATTATTAGGGAAGTATGGATACATATACGTATGTTTGCGTCTTTCTTTTTTTTTTTCTTTTTTTTTTTAGGGATATTTGCTTTGTAATTATTAGAAGGGAAGTATGGGGAAGTATGGATACATATGCGTATGTTGGCGTCTTTCTTTTTTTTCTTTTTTTTTTTTAGGGATATTTGCTTTGTAATTATTAGAAGGGAAGTATGGTTATGTTTAAACTATAGTCAAACTAAATTAATTAGGACAAAGGATCGTACTACGAAATATGAATCTTTCCAAGCAGAATCTTAGCTAGCTTATTATCTACTCTACTATTATGTGATTACTTTATTTTCTCCCTTTGATCAAGACTAAAAATACCATTATTATTGCTCATTAATGGAACATAAATACTCTTCAAATTAAAAAGAACATGAAGTGAAGTTAAATAGTAGAATTAGAGATTAGTACATTTTATGATCATCATTACATGATGATAAAAATAATAAAAAAAAAGAGTTAAATTCGTCTTAGGTCCCTAAACTTTTTTTTCTATCTATAATTAATCCTTAAACTAAAAAGTGTTCTATCTTAAACTCTGAACTCTTCAAGTGTCTTAAATTTAGTCATCGGTTACATTCCGTTAAATTTTGAATGGAAAAGATTTAAGTAATCTTTATAATTACACCCGAATAAATATTGCCCTCCATTCTCCAACAATTTCCTCTATTTCCCTGGCTTCTCTCTTGATCTGTGGAAGTATAGAACCCAGGTTTCTAACACACATAAGCTCAAATGCCTGATGTTATGCATTTAGTGCTCCCAATTACCCACAGGTTTGAATTCAAAACTCACCTTATTTAGTGCTCCCAATAACCCACAGTTTTTCGTTCTTTGCTCTTCTTGGCATCTTGTAATTGAAATAACATTATTAATTTTGGATGCTTAAACTAATGCAGAAGTATAGTATAATTCTTGAACTTTGAAATGAAAAACAATAATCGCCCCAAACTTAACAAATTAGATAGATTAGATAGATAAGTATAAGTTACTCTAAAAAAAAATAGAACTTCTAACTAAAAAACAAGACAATAGATAAAAAAAAAAATGATATGAATCTAAAACAAAAAGAAAAAAAAAGATGAAATTAAGAGTAATAGAAACTATTTACTCTGGTTTTACTTTTTATGTTTTGGTTCATTTGTTCTAATTTTACTAAAATACCCATTTATTAAGATGAAATTATAAATTACCCAACTTTTTCCATTCAAAATTTAACGGAATATAAGTGAGAGACTAAATTTAAGACACTTAAAGAGTTCAAGGTTTAAAATAGATTACTTTTTAACACAAGGATTAATTATAAAAAGAGAAAAAAGTATAGGAACCTCTGATGAATTTAACTCTAAAAAAAAAAGAATTAGAGTAAAAAAGAAAAAAAAAAAAAAAAAAAACATATAGTGTCCATTTACAATGAGTTAAAATACCAATTTGGAAACTAAATAATTGCCGGTTAAGTTGGAACTTTTACTATAACCTGACAAGTTAGGAAAACCTCCAATCTTTAAGTTATTCTTGATCTTCTATTAATGATAGGGAAGGGACTTTGTGTTTTTTGCATACAAATAGGACTACACCAGAAGATTTCTCCACCGACATCCTGAATTTCATAGATAAAAGTTGACACTAAGTTACTTTTTTTTTTTTTTAATTATTCTAAGGATAGGGTCCGCTAATTAAAATTACATTTTATTAACCCCAATTTTTACCAATCGTTTGCTAACAACCAAAGGGTAATTAGAGGCACCTTGATGGATATGAGACCACAACTTTCAGCATTGTGGAGTGTTCAACTGAAAAAAAAAAAAAAAAAATGATGAGGACAACAAGAGCAGCAGAAATTCTGACTAATTTCTCAGCATAGAGACTGAACCTGAATTTTGATTTCAGCCTATAAATCATAACCCCATTCACGTCAATCAAGGACAAAAAAAAAAAAAAAAAAAAAAAAAAAAAAAAAAAAGAAAAAGAAAAAATGAGTAAGAGAAAATGCTGATGCTGCTTGTAGTTAATGTATGTAATTTACAGTTGAAATGGTTGTTACCTTTGCAAATATCCAAAAATGAATTGGGACACCATATTCCCATATTATTCTGAAGAAGAAATTTCCTTTCTTTAAGTAAAAACTTTCAATGGTAAATCTCAAATATAATCATGAGTATCCTATAAGTTTCAAGTATTATGAGGATTCAATGAAAACAGAATCTTGAAGAGGTTGCACTCCCTAACATATGGGCTGCTTGTGTAGCTGTCTTGAACTCCATGTACTCTGTACAGGCGAAGACGGGAAGATTATTGTTGGCAGCCTCTTACTTTCCTCCAAATGAGGAAAATCACTTGTGTAGTGAAGCCCGCGGCTTTCTTGCCTAGCAAGTGCACTGCTTACAACAAGCTTTGCGCAACAAAACAGGTTCCTCATTTCACAAGCCTCGAGCCCCACCATCGTTGGCTCCCATCCGTGTTGAAACAAGTACTCCTCCCACTTAGCCTCCAACTCACCAATCTTCCTCTCTGCAGTTTTGAGCCTAATGGTGGACCGAACGATGCCAACATACTTCCGCATTACCGCTTGCATTTCTTTCCTCACTTCCCATGTCAACATCAAAATTTTGTCCGCGGTATTGCTCCCAAGTGACCTAGGCACAACTGGTCTTGGCCACCAATTTGAAGCACTGAAGTCAAGAGCAGAGCTCTTCATATGTTCGATTGAGGGCTGAACAGCCCTTCTTGCAAAAACCAGCGCTTCAAGCAATGAGTTACTAGCAAGTCGGTTTGCACCATGCAAACCTGTACATGCAACTTCACCTGCCACATATAAACCGCGTACATTCGTCTCTCCTTGCAGCCCAGCACGAACTCCCCCACACATGTAATGAGCTGCAGGAACAACTGGTATTGGCTGGCGGGTTATGTCCAATCCATGTCGGAGACACTCTGCCGCTATGGTGGGGAAGTGTGAGAGAACTTTTTCCCTGGGCCTGTGACTTATATCAAGTAGCACATACTTCTCATTACGCTTTTTAAGCTGGTCATCTATGCTTCTTGCCACCACATCCCTAGGAGCAAGCTCTGCTCTCTCATCATACAGGGGCATAAATCTTTCCATGGCGAGATTGTAAAGGATGCCTCCATCTCCCCTGACAGCTTCAGTGACGAGAAACGCGTTTTCTCGTGTCTTGCTTAGTTTGACTGGAAGACCTTCATCAGCCAAGGCTGTTGGATGAAACTGCACAAATCTGCCACAAGCAAGCTAGAATTATGTTCCAACTCAAACCTCCAGGGATTGAGAAATAGTTTGAGTACACAAGATGTCCTGTAGTGTAAGTTCAATCAAAAGGACTTATGGCACCACATTAATGCAACAATAACAAGCACTAATTATATCCCACATTTCTTGAGCTCCCCTGGGTTGTCTTGGATAGTCATCAATTTCAACAATATCGCACTAATATTCATTTACTTGATAAAACAACTATTACAAAGTAATTTCCAAGCTGACAATGTTTCTGAAAATCTCTGGTTAGTATTTACTTACTCCATGTTTGAAATCACAGCTTGAGCTCGATGGGCCATGGCCATTCCATCTCCAGTGGCTACCTGTCAAAATATATCAAGAACAATCTAAGAGCACTTAGATTTAACCATCATGATTTCCAGGATGAAAAAAGTAGCAATTTGGGGGGGGGAGAGTTTCTAGTACCTTTGGATTTGTAGTTGAAGGATACATATGTCCAGCACCACCTGATGCAAGTAAAGTCACCTTTGAAATAAATCTTGTCACCTGCAAGTAGGAAAGAGGAATAGTTTCAACATTCAAGACCAGGAGTTTCTTCTGCATTTGCGCAGTATAGCTAGGACAGTTCTTTTACCTCCAGCGTTTCAGTATTCAAAGTGTCAACACCGAGACAAACTGTATCAGAGCCATCCTACAATGCCAATGAGATACTTTTATACGTTAGCATATAGCTGTAAAGCATTCACATTTCTTGGACAATCAGTCTTTACAATGTCAAAATCACACAAGAAATATCCGAAAGTTCTCATTTCTTTATTATACGTTGAAAATGTCTTACAGTCAGGTGAAAAAACGCATATAGCAAACAAACAAACAAAATATGGCAAAAAAAGCCACCCATAAAGGAGAATATTAAACACGCATCGTTTTTTTCATAAATAGAACCTGCAGAAAAACAAACCTGACAGGTTAGCAAATCAATGGCGAAATGATGTTCAAATACAAAGATATTAGGATCCTTGTGAACTGCTGCCAGCAAAGCCCTCTCGATCTCCCTTCCAGTCATATCAGCGGCATGAACAATTCTTCTATGAGAGTGTCCTCCTTCCCTTGCTAGATGCAAGTTTCCATCCTCTCCGTGATCAAATGATGCGCCCATAGCAATCAACTCCTTAATTCTATCAGGCCCTTCTGTACAGACAACCTGGTGAGCACAACTGAAACGTGAGAAACAGCAAAATGATAAACTAAGTCACAATTACATGCAATTCTATCTACATAACACACTTATCTACAGAAACATTTTGTCACTTTCAGTTACATGAACGATTGCAAGGATAGTTTACAGCAACAATCCCTTTATAAAACAGTTGCAGGAGGTAAGAAACTTGGAAAGAACCATCACGCAAAGCCCATGACCGTGACATTTCCTACGGTGATACTTTTTAGCAGGTATCATATTTACACTAAATGCCTTCATAAAATAAATTATTAGGTTTCTAACATACTCTAACAGTGTCCTCGTCACATAGATGAGCCCCTGCTACAATGGTGTCATGCATGTGACTCTCCACAGAATCTGAAGGACACAGCACGGCACTAACACCGCCTTGAGCATAGTTTGTGTTGCTCTCATGAGGCTCGGCCTTAGTGATCACAGCAACAGATCCATGCTTTGCAACTTCAAGGGCATAGCGAAGACCGGCAACCCCACTGCCAATGACAGCAAAATCAAAGTACTTTGTGGAGCCATCTCTCAAGCACGACGATGTAACAGTTCTGATGATCCTCCAATTCTCACCAATTGGAGATTGGGAAAAACTACATCTCTGGATGTTCAAGAACTTGGAAACCCCACATGACCTGGATAATTATACAAGAAAGAGCGAGAGAAAATATCGCGTTGACATACAGTACAATGAAGGAGAATGCTTGGCAATTATGGGAGTAAATGTGATTTCCAGGATCAAGATATTTATCAAGTACCATGAAAGCTCCTTCTGTGAGCATCTGTAAGATGTCACGCTGGAGAGCGAGGAAATTTTTCGACAACCTTGTACCTGCCCCTTGCAGTCAATCAATCGGTAACGAAGCTTGCCACCTCCGGCGTGTATGCAAGTTGTCATTTGCAATGCCTCTGTGTGACAGCAAAATCAAGGAAAAGGAAATTAAATAATCACTCTAGGCTACGGAAAGACAAGAACCATGTTTCCAATATTAACCAGAAAGGTAGTTCACAACATTTCTTGGAAGTTCCAACATTGTGATCCGTATAGAACTATTCCAAGCAATAAATCAATGAACTATTCCAACATTGAGAACTATAAGACAGTGAGAAGGACAAAATGAGACAAAAGAAACATGCGAGAACAAAAGGGCAACAAATATAGAGGTGAATTAGGCAGACATTTTCATTATTCAACAGCCAGCAAGAGGATACATCATACAAACCATGCAGACAAAAAGCTCATAGCTTTCCATGGAAGATTAAGAAGCAAAAAGAAAATGAAAAAAAAAAAAAAAAAAAAAAAAAAAAAATTTGTTTTAATTGGGACAAAAAAAAAAAAAAAATCATTGGCATAAAAGAAAACAAAATCTCAGATTCAAGAAACGCAACGAAAACACGGAAAATTGGAATCGACCGACTGAGTTGAAGGGAAATTCCAGTAAGTACACAGAATTTTGTTGGTGTAATAGCAGAAACCCAGTAAAAATACGCGAACTTTCTTCTGGGCTTCGATGGAGGAAGGGAACCAAAAAAAAAAATTAATTTATGGGACGAATATTCGTTTTGGATTTGATGGGATTGGGAGAAAAACGGAGGCGAAAGAGGAAGAGGACGAAACTCACACGCCTTCGTTTTGCTCCAGAATTTCTATCGAAAATCGCGCCATGCTTTTCTTTATGAGCAGCCCATCGTTTCCCATATTCTTTTTTCTTTTTTTCTTTCTTGTCTATTTTGTCTTTGTTGTCCTCATAACTAACCGTCTTCATTCAACTAACTAATTATCTTTCATGACCGTCTTATTAATAAAATTAATTTTTTAACTGTTAAATTTTATTAAAATAATATTAAATTAAAAAAATATACATAATGAATAATTTTTAATATAAATCTAACAGTTAAAAATATAAAATTATTAAATTCATTTTTTCTGTACCTACAAAAAAACTCTCTAAATTTAAAACGCTCTCATAAAGCTATGTTTTGCTAATATTAATATAGTATCATGCAATTTAAAAAAAAAAAAAACATGACTATCTAAATAGCTTGAAATTGTGTTTTGGAATAAAAAAAAAATACTCTTGCCTTTCTAATTGCTGGTTCATGATTAATTTCTTAGAAATTGTATCAAATATCCAAAACTATTAAAAAACGTAAAATCCCAAGAGGAAAATATTATAATTCGAAAAGGTTTTAATATCTAAAATCATTAACTTAAAATTAATTAAAAGGGTCATGTTTCAAAAAATTATCTAAATTTAATTTCTCTTTTTTTATATATTTTAGATTTTAGATAATTTGTGTTTACTCATTAATCTATATAGTAATTTTATTAACACCAAAAAAATAGGAAATACGTTTTAATATTGAAGCTGAAAGGAAATAGACAATTTGGGTGTGTGCTCTAATTGTGAGATGTTGTTACTCTTATGGAATAAGTTGCAACATTTGACACATTGAACTTTTACCAAATCCTATTCTGTTTTATTTTGCTCAAAGAAGGTGACTTTGATTGCGTAATGAGTAATTTTAGAGATACTCACTTAAATCTCAATTTTCGTGTTTCAATTTACATGGCACTGAGTTATTATTTTTTAATTAATAGATGTAATCTATTATCATTTGATATAAAAATAATAACTCATGTGGCATATCAGTTAGTATAAAAAATTAAGATAGAATTGGTGTCCTGACATTATTTATAGGAAATTTGTCTCAATAAATGAGAACTTGGTTAAAATAAATGAGTGGGAAAAAGGTTTTCTAATAGATTAGCAACTAAGCATTGACCAATTGGAATAACAAGTCAACCAGAGAAATTAGTTGGTCCACTAACAGTATTTATTGGTAATCAAAATGGCCAAGAACCTTGTACGGCAACTCGGTATTGTCCATTAGAAAGCCGAGGAGTCAGAAGAAAAAGGTCAAAAGTTATGACAAAAATACACCTATATTCCTGGCTGCCTAGAACCACTTGAGCATAATCTTGCAAAGATGCTCCTAGCCACGCAAGTATTCTATTCATTTCACCATTTTAAATTTAAAATTTAAATTTTTTTATAATAAAAAATTTAAAAAAATAGTTATATTTAATTTTTTTATTATAGTAAAAAATTCTCATATAAAGTTACATCTTAACTCGAATCAGCGAACTAAATATACTTAAAATTTTCTTAAAAAATTGAATAGTGAAAAGCTCAATAATTTTTGACAAACGCTAGTTTGAACCGCAACTTAAATTATGACTGTCGCAATTTGAAACTTGTCGAAGTCACACCTCTAATTTTCTGTCACGATTGGAAGTTATAGTCATTGAGGGAGGTGTTGCGACACCAGAAACTCCGATCTTCTCCTCCTATTCTCCGATCTCTTATGACCTTGCAGATCGCGGCCTCATGACGCCTCTTTTGTTGCGTCATAGCACGGCACCAACGCCGCCACAAGCGTCTTAGCTTATATCATCTCTCAAAATCAAACGAGCTTCTTCCCTTTTTTCTCCAGATCAGCCGATTTCAACGATGTTTTCGGCCTCCGGCCCTCTTCAACGCGACCTCCATTCTAGCTAGGTTGGTTTTATTGTTATTATTATTATTATTTTTTATTTTGATTTTAGTATTTTTCTTTTTCTCTGTATAGTTTGTTATATATATTTTTATTTGGCTTTTTAATCAAATCTGTTTTTGCCATTGTAGCACTCATAATGAAAATTCGAGGAATTTGTTATTACATATTATATGTGCTCCATAAAATGTAATATAATATGTTGTGACAATGCAGGGGTGGAAGTGGACATGAGCCTGCACATGCCGGATTTGTGGGGGGAAGGGATGCTATAGCAGCTATTTGTGGGGATGTTTTTGCTTCGCCTACAGTTGATTCAATTTTAACTATATGGCCTCTTCCAATTCTTTTCAGCTATCAGTTATATAAAAATCAAAAGATAATCTAACGTTGTTGAAGCTTAGGGCATCCGAGTTGTCATTAGTCTAAAGGGATGCCTTCTGATTGTCAAGGTAATTCTCTTTAATTAGATTTTACTTCGCTTATATTACAATTTTACTCTGTTGGCTGTGAACGACATCATTAATCTGTAAATGTATTCATTACCTTACAATACAAAATAGAAAAAGGAGAGCATGAAAACTCCTTTTTAGAGGTAAAGGGGAAAAACTATAGATTTGCTTGAGCATGGAATGTCTCTTTAGCTTAGGAAATATTCTATATATGTTTGAATAACATGATAAAAGGATCTATTATGCTATATCATTTTCAGATGGGAAAATATTGAAAGCTTTTGATGTTTCATGTTATCATCTCTATCAAAAACACGATATATTATTTTTTTTTTTGTTATTGTTTTGTTACAGGGAACACTGTAAATCAAAACTCTCAAAATTGATAGGAAAATAACATATTGCTGAGAATGAAAGAGATTTTGATTTGGGTTTGGCCAATGAAGATCTTTGCGGAAGTAACCAAGTAAAGATTTTTAATTTTTTGTGCCAACTTTGACTTTCTAAGATGAAAATCCAAATGATGAAAATATCGAGAGTTTTGATGAATATATCAATTAAAGACCTTTACATGGTCTGCAAGTTATAAGGAAGTTAATGGTGGTTTTAAGAATATTCATAACTACTACTACTGATTCAATATTTTAGCTTTTAATTCACTAGATGAAATCGATGGATTCTTGAAAAATTTTGAAACTCTTGAATATTTCTTTTGTGTTTTAATTTTTTAATTTGATTATTATTGCTAGAAATCTAGTGATACTTATTAAAAAAACAACATAATGTAGTAGATTATGCTTTATAATTTGGCAGGTTATGAAGCATAATCTGACAGTTTATGGATCACAAATTGGCAAGTTATGGATCATAATCTCATAAATTGATAGATTATAAAGCATAAATTGTCAAGTTATGAAGCATAAACTAGCCGTCTATGAATCATAACCTATCATACTATGACAGACGTTGGTGATCGAAGGTCGGCAGCTGGCGTAATTTGTCAAGTTATCGATTATAACTTCATAGACTATGGCCGACACTGATGATTGGCGATCGTCGTAATCTATTAGGTTATAGATTATAACTTGATCGATTATGACTGGCGTCAATATAATCTGTCATATTATAGGTTATAAACTAATAAATGATAAACAGTTAAATTATAAATCATAACTTATCATATTATAACCAACGGTCATCGGGAACCCGCCAGTCAGGTTATCGCAAATTGGTCCCAAATATTGACTCAAAAAACTCACAAAAGTAATTCAACAGCTGCTCTCCATCCGCAAGAGCCGTCAAAACTCCACTAGGTATTTAAGCCTAAGCCCAAATCATTTTATCGTTAACATTTATTTAGGGCTTGTTCTTTTGGAGTTTAACTTAAGTATAATTCTTGAGTTGAATTTGAGTTATAATTTGAGTTGAAGTTATAACTTGAGTTTGTGTTTGGTTGTGTACATTTGAGTTATGGTTTGAGATAAGAATCTTTTTGAGTTTGTGTTTGAGTGAGTCAAAACTTGAATTTGTATTTAGATAGTATTTTAATAAAAACTCAATACTGATGGAAAATTTTAATAGGGTATATGGGTGGGGTTTTATTCATCTTTTTGTTGTCAACGCATAGAAAAAAAATCATCTCAATCAGAATTAAAACGAAAAAGTTATAGCATTTTTAAGAATAGAAAAAACACTGTTCATTAATTTGAGTTCGAGTTTCTGAACTCGAGTTGAAAGGAAAACTTGAACTCGAATTTTAGTCCCAAACTTGAGTTTGAACTCGAGTTTAAACTCAAGTTCAAACTTAAAAGAACATAAACTCGAATAAAGTTGTAATTCGAATTGCTTTTTTTTAAGGCCCCGTTCATTTCGTTGATTCGAGTTTAGAATTTAAATTTTGCTACAGTAAAAAACTCTCACAAACAATTACATCTAACTTTTTTGCTACAGTAAAAAGCTCTCACATAAAATCACATCTCAACTCGAATCAGCGAACTAAACGGGTCCTAAGTTTTTCACTAAAAAAACAAGTCCTTATTTATTTATTTTCAACATGCCAATCAATTTTTATTTTGAATATAAAAAGATCATTCAAAACAACCTTTTTCTATTGAAAGTACTCACTAGTAGTATAAATCATTAGAACGAGGGATTGGACATAATGTATCCGTAATAAAATCATATTACGTCAGTAAAATATTTATAATTTTTTAACTGATAGAAAATTTACATTTGGATCCGTTCAGTTCGTTAATTCGAGTTTTTAATTCGAGTTGAGATGTGATGTTGTGTGAGAATTTTTTACTGCAGTAAAAAAGTTAGACGTGACTGAGCTTTTTACTGTAGTAAAACTTAAATTCTAAACTCGAATCAGTGAAAAGAAGAGGTAATATATTTAAAGAACTTCTCTCGGACACTTTCCCTTTGGATACTACGTTAGGACATGTGAAAATTGATTTTGACTCTACTCTTATTGGCTTTCAGACTGAGCCGTGCACCGCCTCAAGGTGTAACATATATTGCCAGAGGATAAAGCTACATAGCAGCTGCCAGTGTGTGTACATATATATGTGTGTGTGTGTGTGTATGAATGTATATATGCATCAGATTAAGATGTCAATATAAAAGAACCACCGGACAGGGAGGTGAAATCTTGGCTGGTATATGTCTACTACAGATTTTTCTAACCCTCAACTTGCAGAGTTTCAAAATCATGAGAGGCTAGTACTAAAAGTAACTTTTGAAAAACTCAAGCAGTTAAATTTGGAGGAGAAAATATCCCTAGTGTTTTTACTGATATACCGGTTAAAAATGACAGATGCCATAAAAATTATGATGGCAGGCAAAATTTACACCTTTGGTCTAGTACTACACTTGTTTATGGGTTAATATTCTCAAATATGTTCTACATTTCATGGCCTAATGTCATTTCTAAGATGTCATTTTTTAAGTTGAATCTTTTTATTTGTTCCATTCACAGAATTTGGCTCCAGTATAAGGGAATATGGGTTCATGAAAGGAGGAAAAGATAAAGAGGAAAGGGAAAGCAAGCAACTAGAAATGAAGACAGGAAAACTTTATAATCAGTTTTTGCCTCTTGTGGTTGTAGTTGTTTGGATTCTTTGTCATAGAAAGGGAAAGAAGATGGACCTTTTCTTGTGAACGAAGTCTAACAAGGAGGAACATGGCATATAGCTATGTCTTTTAAATCAACTTACAGCCCCAGCATCCGCATTCCCTGTCCCACCCTTTACCCCCACTTACACATTACTTCATGCTGATCTCTGTGTATGATGCTATCTAATTTGGCTTGATTCTATTGGATCTAATCTGTGTTTCTTGTACATATTTTCATAACTGGACAAAGGAAAAAACAGAACTTTGATTCAACTTCTGGTATTGTTACAAATTTAATTTCCAATTCTCAAAACTACAAGTTTATAGAAACTTGTGTATCAACTGTAAAGAGTCAGAGCAAAAAAAATTGAAATACAACTGCAACTAATAACACAAAAAGGCTTTGTTTGAATCCCTATTATTTGAGTACATCTCGAGTACATCCGCCGAGATGAACCCATTCAAAAGACCAACCATGCAAAACAATATCCTAAGCATCTACGGATCTTTAAACAAAAATGTGAATAAAGTGAGGATCACATACCGTTACAGAGTTTGAACAAGAGGAAGAGATGAACGACACCGCCGGCAGAAAACCAAAGGCAGACGAAGGTGTTTTGAAATTTTTTCGTTCGCTTATGTTTTCTCTCCGGTAAGGGTGAGAAATTGCGTAGTACTGGCTAAATTTTTACCGAATGTGATGCTTCCGTCGATTGTTCATGGGCAACCTACTCGAAGGACTAGGCATCAACCCAGATAAAAGGATTCCACCGAGATGTGGGTTCTTTACCTGGTTAATATGCGAGCATGTGAGGGAACATAAGCGTGAAAAATTCGAAGAGAAGGGAAAAACAGAGAAATATTGAACAGATTCTCTGAAGGAGCACGAGAAGAACGAAAGGATGAGGAAGGCTGTAGATTCTCTAGCAGAATAGTCAAGACTGAGCGTGAGGAAGGTGAGAGTCATTACTCAAATTACTGTTTGTGCACTGTGCAGAATGATTCAAGATGGGCTGAATTAGGGGAGATTGATTTTGAATTAGGACCCAAAGACTCAAACCCTAATTCCAACCCAACGCACGCTTAATTAAACATTTATAAATATTTATAATTTTTTAATTGATAGAAAATTTACATAATATATAATGTCTTGTTCAATTCGTAGATTCGAGTTTTCAATTCAAGCTAAAATGTGACATTTTTTGATAATTTTTTACTGTAGTAGAAAAAAATTAGATGTGATATTTTTTAAAAAAATTTTACTGTAAAAACTTAAATTTAGGTCTCGTTCACTTCGCGGATTCGAGTTTTTAATTCGAGCAGAGATGTGATATTTTATAAGAGCTTTTCACTGTAGCAGAAAAAATTAGATGTGATATTTTTTAAAAAATTTTTACTATAAAAATTTAAAATTAAAAACTCAAATTGATGAAGTGAACGAGACCTGAACTCCAAAAAACGAGAACTTCTCTCGTACGCTTCCCGTTTTGATACTACCGCAGGACATGTAAAAATTGATTTTGACAGAGGATAAAGCTACATAGCAGCTGATTTTGACTTTTGTAGGACCCATTATTATCTTTAAGGCTCATCAATTACGTGGGGCCCACTATAAAAAACATCTCACTAAATTCTCTCTTTTTTTATTTTTTTTGTTTTAAAACAAATTTTCTATTTTAAGTCAGGATCATTTTATTAATTTAAATTTTATTAGACTAAATTTTTTTTAAAAATAATTATATTTAATTATCGTATAAAAACACGTCAAAACTCAAATAAAAAACTTAAATCAACCGACCTTAATCTCTCCCGTTCTCTTTCTTCTTCTTTTTCTCTCCTCCATTCTTTTATTTTCTTCTCCAGCGTTAAATAAATTCCCGGTCGGCTTAGAGATAAAAAAGAAAAACAGAGAGAAGTTTTTTTTAAAAAAAAGAAAATTCAACTTGATCACGTCGATTTTACTTTTATTCAAAGATGATTTTCTCTTTTTCGAGAATGGATCTTGGGGTCCATGGATGGATTTATGCATGGGCCAGTGGTCTTCCTCTTTTTTTTTTTTTTTTTTTTTTTTGGTGCCCCTTTTCTGAATATTAACTAGAAATCTATGAAGGTCAGTGAAAACTCATTAACACCCACAAAAAAGAAAACCGATTAACACCCATAAAGAAAACCCCATCACTACCGAGAGGCGATCGAGAAGAAACATGAAGTGAGCAAGAGACCAAAGAGAGAGAACCCAAATCAATAAATAAATAAAAGCACCGCTCCCTGATAGGTATTTTAGTAAGGAAATGCTTTGAAAGAGGACACTCTTTTAAACCTGAAAAGACGATAACAAAAGCATATCACAAGCCCAGCAAAATTTTTTCTGAAAATGGACAAAAAATAAACAAATGAAGAACCATCTAAATCTCCTGAATAAGGTGGAGATGGCAGAGGTGATGCATGCGCGTTTGCCGGAGAGTTGCCGGCGTCGGGGAAAGGGCAAATATCATGGGGAAAGGGCAAAGGCAAAAAAGAAAAGGCTCAAAAAACCTGGAAGAAAAGAGACCGTTTTTTTTTTTTAAATTATTCAACTTGTTTTTTAAATATATATATATATATTCAGCCATTTTTACACCTGAAAACAACTGTTTAGGTGGACTAAACATTTAGGTATGGTTTACTTCGTGAATTTGAGTTAAAATGTATTATTTTTTAAAAAAATTTTAATTGTAACAAAAAAAAATTAAATGTAATATTTTTAAAAAAATTTTAATTATAAAAATTAAAAATTAAAAATTTAAATTGATAAGATAAATGAGATCTTAAAGTTGCCATACCAATTTTGTTCTCAATTACACACCACAAGATTTTAAATCTAACTGTAACTAGAAATGTGTCCTACTGCACCAGAGAAGTTTTATTTTTATTGGCATGACAGAATATTATTTGAAGAATATAGAATGAAATAAAAAAAAGACAAGACAAGACTTCTATTAAAGTTTTTTTTTTAAATTTAAAAAGTTTGTTTTTTTTTCATAATTTGAGTTATGATTTTAACTGTGTGAAAAAAAAATATTATAATAAAAAAATTAAAATTAAATTTTTATTAGAAAAAATATTATAGGAATATGACTTGAGTTATGAAAATAAACATACCCAACAAGTGAAATGAAGTCTCAGGCCTTGTTTGGCAGAGTGGTTTTTGAGTGAAAAATTCAAAAAAATGTAACTCGAGTTATAACTTTATTTGAATTCATGTTCTTTTAAGTTTGAACTTGAGTTTGAACTCGAGTTTGGAACTAAAATTCAAGTTCAAGTTCCCCTTCAACTCGAGTTCAGAACTCGAACTCAAGTTAATGAACAATATTTTTTCTATTCTTAAAAATGATATAACTTTTTCGTTTTAATTCTGATTGAGATGATTTTTTTTTCTATGCGTTAACAATGAAAAGACGAATAAAACTAGACCCATATATCCTATTAAAATTTTTCATCAGCATTGAGTTTTTATTAAAATACTATCTAAATACAAATTCAAGTTCTAACTTACTCAAACACAAACTCAAAAAAGATTCTTATCTCAAACTATAACTCAAATGTACACTTGGCCTCGTTCACTTCACTGATTCAAGTTTAAAATTCGAGTTTTGCTACAGTAAAAAGTTCTGAGAAACAGTCACATCTAACTTTTTTGTTACAGTAAAAAACTCTCACATAAAATCACATCTCAACTCGAATTACAAACTCGAATCAGCGAAGTGAACGGGCGAATTACAACTTCAATTCAAGTTATAACTCATACTCAACTCAAAATCTACACTCAAGTTACCTAACTCAAAAACATCAAAAGAACAAGCCCTGATCATTTTAACGATTCGAATTTAGAATTCGAGTTTTATTACAGTAAAAATTTTTAAAAAATAATCACATTTAATTTTTTATTATAATAAAAAGTTATCATATAAAATTATATTTTAACTCAAATTAAAAACGAATTAAACATGAAGCAAAGTATAGTTTAGAGATATTAATCCTAATTATCTGTGAAACAAATCGCTCCCGCGGATTTCTGGAGAGGGAAAACCGTCATAGACCTCAGCCTCTGAGTCGGATATATATAACACTCCGCGTCCCAGCTTGAGCTTCCTTCCACAATTCACTCCTCTTTCTTCCCCATTCCCATACTAGAGTCTTCTTCTTCCTCTTCTTCTGCTCAACGGTGGGATCGAAACCCTAGCCACACCACACCAGAGAACGATGGGAAACTTGTTGAACAAGCAACCACCACCGCCAATGGTGCTCGTTCCTCCTCTCTTCGACTTCCCTCCTCTCGCCGCCCGTACTAGGTCCGGCCGGGAAAGAAAGTTTAATATGACGAAAATTTTTGTTCGATTGATTTTTTTGTTTGTTTGTTTGCATTTTCTTGGGTTTCTTTTTATTTTGCTTAGGTTTTTTAGGGTTTAGTTTGGAAGATTTTTTTTTCCTTTTTTTTAATTAAGTTATCTGCTTTTGAAAAAAAAAATGCGGGTGTGCAGGATGTTGGAGTCATCTTATAATATGTTGTTCGGAAAGCTTGCTTTGAAATGCCTCTTTGAGGATTATTTTGAAGAAGCAAATCATTTCAGGACAATGATCATGCTTAAGCCAATCGATGATCCAAATGTCGATTTAATCGCAACCGTATCCTTCATGTCTTGTGTTTATATTTTAATCTTTGTTACTGTTTATCTCTTTATTGCAAGATTAATTGTCAGTCCAGTATTTTTTTTTTGGTTGAAAATTGTGTTGGGCTTGGAAACATGGAGATTTTTTTCCCCTTAATTGTGATTAGGTTTCGGGTCCGTTTGATCACAAACCGGATGACTCAGACTCAGACTCAGAGGAGGATACAGTTAAAAATGCACTTTTCCGTTGGCAAAGGTGTTGTAGAAGTAGATATCTTTTTGTAAAATGTAAATTGATTAACAATAATTTTTTTAAATTGCAATGACCATGTTCTTGATGGTTTCTTTCTTTCCTTTTTGTTGGAAACAGTGACGTTTATGATCCTCATACATTTGTTGACCTTTTCGTGTCGAGCTCTAATCCGTAAGCGACATCTTTTGGAGTAAAATGATTTGTTGGATTTCACTCCACCCCCCCCTAGTTTTCATTTTCAGAAACTTCAACTTTGTACATAGTGCAATATTCTCTCTTACTCAGGATTCTACAAATGCGGTATTGTTCCTTCAACCCCGAACTAGGAATTGGAGCATTTGGCATTTTACCCTTGCTACTGAGGAACAGGTGCAATTATATCAGAAAGATTTTATACCAAATATGAGAGTTGTATTTTGTTCTAGTTGGTGCGCTGTGTGTTCATATCACAAATTTGTTGATTAAGCTCACTACTGCTATAGGGTATCTTTACTGGACAACTGTGTTTGTGGAATAAGATATGGTTCAGATAGTTTATCCATTGGAGCCAAAATCAAGCCTTTCTCCTGTATGTGACCTGAAATCAATTTATGGATTTTTATTTTTTATTTTTTATATTTTTTCATGTATGTCTAACTCTCAGGTCCTGTTTTCCGCTCTGTAGTTCTACGTTTCCCCTAAGAAGATTTTTAAGCTAAATTTGTATCTAGCAACATCTCTTTTAGTTTACAAGGTTGAAGGGATTTGAGGGATTGAATGATCAGACTGCTTCAACTTAGATATTAATCACTCTGCCGCTATTTCTTTTGCTTAATTGCTTCAGTAGACTTACAGAATTGTAACTTTAAAGTTCCATTTCCATTCTGTGTATTATGTGAACACACCATTTGTTATATAAACTTTTTTCTGCACACTTGTCATTCTTGGCAGTTAAAAATGAATGTGTAGAAAGTATGTGGTTCGTGAGCAGGGCGGGGAGGCTAACTGTTGGATTGCAGTATGAGCCAGAATGTAAGTTTTACTCAGATTCCTTATACAAAAGTTTCCATATGAGCCAGAATGTAAGTTTTACTCAGATTCCTTATACAAAAGTTTACATTTTAGTTCAAACTTTACGCAGGCTAATTTGTCAAGTTATCCTAGGAACTAAGTTGTTTTCTTGCCTATTCACTTTTTCTTGCTATACTGCATGAAGTTTCATTGTGGTTTTATAACCATCCCAAGTGTGATGCTATTACATGTTGGGTGTGGTAGACACGTAATCTCAGCACTCTATTTTGCCCTCACGGGAGCTTATTTAATTTATTTGTTTATTTAGTCTTGATATGTGCCATTCTTCTTTTTAGATGGAAGGAAAGACGGTACAAAGTATATAAATTTAAATAATTGGAGTGGTGCAATTGGCTATTGTGTGGGATCAGGCAGTCCTTTGAGTCCATCATTCAATTTTTGCCTTGAACTTGTTAAAGATTATCAGGTTTTAAATAATACGTTTTGATTATTCATACGTTTGCGTTTGTCCCAGTTATCTGCCAAGGGATCTGATATCTTAATTTGAATTTGCAGTTCAACGCCTCATTCTATCAACATGTGGTAGTCCAAAGACGGGTACATATTTATAGCTGTAGTTCCTCTGTGTGTGTCGTTCTTGCAAGTCACTTCAGAGTTTCGTGTCATTATTGTACTTGCTATTTTATTTTCAGTGGTATGATATGAGGCTGACCATAAGTCTCTCATGTGTTATTACTGGGGTTTCTCAAATTTTCTTTATTTATTGAAAAGTAAAATATCATCTAAACAGGTGAAGAACCCTCTTGAAGAAAATGAAGTAGTTGGAATTACAAATTATATTGATTTCGGCTTTGAATTGCAGACGAGGTATTCCGTTAGATCTCACTTTTATTTAACTAGTTTAGACACATCTCATTGACTTAATCTTTATCTGAAGGGTCGATGTAGCTGAAGCATCAAACCAGATACCAGAGTCTACTTTCCAAGTTGCTGCATCTTGGCAAGCCAATAAAAACTTCCTGTTGAAGGTAGCATGCTTTATCAATCTAATGCTTGTAACTATTATGGTGTCATGTTAAGCAGACTCTAACAAGAATCCATATATGCCAGGGAAAGTTGGGCCCTCTCAGCTCGGCAGTAGCATTGGCATTCAAATCATGGTGGAAGCCTTCTTTCACATTTAGCATTTCAGGTACTTCGGGGCTCTTGTTGGTAAATTTATTTAATTTTGGATTCCACTGCTTGAAAATGTCAACTTTTTGAACCTCTTGGAAACAAGATAATATGAGTTGATAGTTATTTATAGCCATCATATGCTATATGCAAAACTTAGAAACGTTTCTCTCAAATGGAAATAAGAGATTATAGTTAGATGGTGCAAGCTGTGGATGACGAGGCAGTATCATATACTGATTGGAGGAGAAATTTGGTACTACGTATGGATATCTAGTCGACATATGAAGGAAATATAGCCAATCTAGTTTCCTAATTGGTTTCAGAGAAACCAAAAATTCAGGTCTCATTTGTGAAATCTGGTAAATTTGTCATCGTTCAAATTATGCTACATGTGAAGATACAGGACAAATGTTCAGTACGACATTGACTTTGAGGATACCGTTTGATGTTCTACTTGAGAACAATAACAGTAAGTTGTGGATCTGATCGGAGCCTTGTTTTTGCAGCCACTAGAGATCACACTTCCGGAAGCACAGCATACGGGTTTGGCGTCCGTGTTGAGAACCTTAGAGAAGCCAGGTTTAATCATTTGGTTGTCATTTTCATTAGTTGATCTTAATGCATACATGCCCTTATCCAAAAATAACAAAAACAAACTTTTTCAGGTGACGCTACAGTTTTAAGCTCATGAACTTGTGCTTATTTAAACACCGGTATACATTCATACTTGCATATGGCTTATAATATACCATTGTAATTGAATTGCAGGTATCAAAGAGCTGATCCAAATTTTGTGATGCTGACACCGAACAAAGAGCACCTGGCGGAAGGCATAGTTTGGAAGATTGGGCAAAGACCAATGCTGCAATCAGACATAAATGCCGGAAATTTCGATGGCATTCCGATGGAACTGAGACCCCTGGAAAGAATTTTGTAAATTTTATTTTATTTTTTTTAAAATTGTTTTTAGTACTTGAACAGTTGAACTCTCAAACGGGATGACCTTTTTCTGGGGTTGTCTAGGACGGTCTAGAACATGCATTGGTGATCTATTTTTTGTTTTGTCACATCATCTTTTATTTGCTTCTTTATTTGAGGAAGTCGTAAATAATCACACATTACATTACAGTAGCAAAAAAAATAAGAAATAATAAAAAAAAGCTCATTAAGAAATCTGTTATAAAATGATGTATAATTTGGATCTATTTATATATTCAGTTATTTACTATTTTATATCTTATACTTGTATTTTGAGTTTTATAAGAATGTACTCTGTAAATTATTTTATGTTCCCAAAATTATATTTTTGAATTTTGAAGTTAAAGTCAAATTTATAACTTTAAGTTGAGTAGCTGATTTTGATTTGCCAACGGAAGGTATATACTATTTGTAGCTTATGAATAAATGTATGAAACAATTAAGCTTAAGAGTTATGTTAAAAAAAGTACAGAGTGCGTTTGGAACTCGTTCTAAAATAATTTTATTTTTTGTATGAAAATAAAAATGAAAACGTTTTTAATCTTAGATGGAAAACATTTTTAATCTTAGATAGAAATCATTTTTAAAAATACGTTTAGTAGTTTTATTAAGAGATTGTTTTCAGTATAAAAAAATTCATTAATGTCCCTCTCTCGCTCTGCTCAAGAGAGGAGAAAATAAAAACAAAAAATAAAAAACGATTAAAAATTATTTTTTATTTTTTTCATATTTTATACTATATTAAAAAAATATTTTTATTTTTATTTTTTATCTTTAATTATATTAAACGTCTGTTTTTATTTTTTCTTTCTTAAAAAATATAAAAAATAAAAATAAGAATAATTTTAAATACAGTAATAATTTTTACAAAAATATATATATTTTTTAATTTCATTGGAAAGGAAACATGAAAGACATGTTTTTTCTTCCAAGACCAAAAAAAAAAAAAAAAAACAGAGAGAGGATTATTTTTCTCATATTTTATACTATATTAAAAAAATATTTTTATTTTTATTTTTTATCTTTAATTATATTAAACGTCTGTTTTATTTTTTCTTTCTTAAAAAATATAAAAAATAAAAATAAGAACAATTTTAAATACAGTAATAATTTTTACAAAAATATATATATTTTTTAATTTCATTGGAAAGGAAACATGAAAGACATGTTTTTTCTTCCAAGACCAAAAAAAAAAAAAAAACACAGAGAGAGGAGAGAGAGATGCGAGGGTGTAATGTATTATATCACCGGCGCCGGGGACCACAAGTTCTGCACCCTCCATAATAATTATCAATTAATAAATATATAAGAAAAGAATCTCATAATACAATCTCTTCGCAGCAGCTGTCCCAAACACACAAACAAACAGATGGCTGCATATTCACTCATTTCCACGGTGTTCCATTCCTCTCCAACTTTCTCTCCACTTTCTAGCTTCCCAAACAGAAAGCCCTCTACTCTCTCTCTCTCCAAATCCCCTTCCCCAGCTCTCCTCCTCCGCCGCACTCCACTCCCCATCCTCTCACTCCTCCGCCACAACTCCGATTCCTCCTCCTCCTCCGAGACGCCATCGTCTTCCTCTTCCTCTTCCTCCTCCGAGACGCCATCGTCTTCCTCTTCCTCCTCCGAGACGCCATCGTCTTCCTCTTCCTCTGCTCTCAACTCCTTCCTCGTCCTCTGCACCTCCGTAGCTCTCTCCCTTTCCCTCTTCGTCGCCGACGTCGACTCCGCCGCCGCATTCGTCGTCACCAGCCCCAGGAGGTTGCAGTCCGATGAGCTCGCTACGGTCCGTCTTTTTCAGGAGAACACTCCTTCCGTCGTTTACATTACAAATCTCGCCGCCAGGTTCCTCTAATCTCTCCGTCTCCGATTGAAGCTTCAATCTTTCTCATGTATAACCTTAATTTCTTCTCTCTGATCGTCATCCCGTGCTCGAACTTATTTTCATTCAGGCAAGACGCTTTTACTTTGGATGTCTTGGAGGTTCCTCAAGGTTCTGGTTCGGGCTTCGTTTGGGATAAACAGGGTCACATTGTCACCAATTACCACGTGATCCGAGGTGCTTCTGATCTGAGGTTGGTTTGAATCGTAATGCTTATGCTTTATTGTTTTTGGTTTTGTTGCCGTAGAATCTGCTTAAGCTTTTGTGATTGATTACTTGTTGTAGAGTGACTCTAGCTGACCAGACAACTTACGATGCGCTAGTTGTTGGATTCGACCAAGACAAGGATGTCGCTGTGATTCAGGTCGATGCGCCGAAAGACAAGCTGAGGCCTATTCCCGTTGGCGTCTCTGCGGATTTGCTTGTTGGTCAGAAAGTTTATGCTATTGGCAATCCTGTATGTATACGATCTTTTTAGCTTCTAAATTTGTGATTTTGGGGAAAAAGAATAATATGATATATGGTTCGAGTTAACTGACGTTTGAGTTTCCTGATTTGTGTTTTTTGTAGTTTGGACTCGACCATACTCTTACAACTGGTGTTATCAGGTAAAGATCCATGAAATCTGCCCTCATTTGGCTCGTAGTTTGCAACGCCGTTTAGTTACTCTAGTTCCAGGCAAGAGTGATTGAGTTTTCATACTAGCATTGAACGTTATCTATAATTATATTTGATTATAATGCATTCTTATGCAATTGAAGCAACTACTTAGTATGGCAAATAAACTATAGTTTCTTTTACATTTATCAGCTGCTGCTTCCTTCCTGTAAAGAAGAATGGTGTTGATTCATTCCTTGTGATTTTTGTAGCGGGCTACGTAGAGAAATTAGTTCTGCTGCTACGGGCCGTCCGATCCAGGATGTTATCCAGACAGATGCTGCCATTAACCCCGGTAATAGTGGAGGGCCACTTCTAGACAGCGCAGGAAACCTCATTGGGATAAATACAGCTATATATTCTCCATCTGGTGCATCTTCTGGTGTTGGGTTCTCAATTCCAGTTGACACTGTAAGTAGGCTATACATATGAATTCAAAATGCATGATTCGTGGTTCTTATTTCTGCATATGTATTCAGGTAAGTGGCATAGTTGAACAGCTGGTGAAATTTGGCAAAGTCACAAGACCTATTTTGGGTATTAAGTTTGCACCTGATCAATCTGTTGAGCAGTTGGGGCTTAGTGGAGTGCTTGTCTTAGATGCTCCTGCCACTGGTCCCGCTGGAAAAGCGGTGCTTTTTCGACTTCCTCTTTTACCAATCTGAGTTACATGATTTTTTATTTGTTAGCTAAAAGTATTGGGCTTGAGTTATTCCAATTTGCATTAAAATATGATCATTATTCCTCAGTTTCAGTAAAGCTGATGAAGCATACTCTGCAGGGACTTAAACCGACTAAACGTGATGCCTACGGCAGACTTATATTGGGGGACATTATTACATCTGTGAATGGGACAAAGGTAACTAGTGGCAGCGACTTGTATAGAATTCTGGACCAATGCAAAGTGGGTGAAAAGGTATTTTCTAGTTCGATTTCAATTACTATTACTTACCAGTTACCTCATGATCTTCTTCTTTTTTTATCAAATATTGGCATGATGAGGATATGCCTCAATATATGAAGTTATGGTTGAATAAAGTTTGAAATGAGTTGAACGTACATATAATTGAGTTACTATAGAGACACGACAAATAAAATTTTGATCACGGCAATTGCTTTGAGTGTAGAAATGACTCGACCGTTATTTACAATCTGATTGCTGTTAGACTAGTTTCGTAAGTTTAGCTAAATCAAATATTGGATGTTGCGGTTATTGGTATAGCAATTGAATGTTCTAAGCATTCATTCTGCGTTGGTTAAACTTGAAGAAACATTTTATTTTTTGTGTCCATGGTCGCTTGCATAGATATGAAGGATTTGTAGTTTGTTTGCCGTTAATTGCTTAGAATTCATGATTTGATGCCCATGCCATTGTTACTAGGACTGTAGAAAAAAACGGTAAAACTAAAACCGACCGCTCAAAAACCGAAAAAGACGGCGCCATGTGAAACCAAAAAAAAATCGGTTCGGTTAACTGACGGAACTGCCTTAATGGCGGTTCAGTTTCGGTTCAGCTCCTTGAGGTTCAGTTTCGGTTCAGCTCCTTGAGGTTCAGTTTTAAACCGAACCGAACTGAATTTTTTTTTTTATTAGAAGTCCGACGATGTCGTTTTTTTCCTTCTATCTAATCTTATTCTATCTCGAGTCTCGACTCACTCTCTCAGTCTCTCCTCTCATTCAGATTTGTTGCATAATTCACTTTAAAAAAAAAAAAAAGAAAAAGAAACTAACGGATACAAAGTAAAATGAGAACCGGACCTAGTCTAGGTTGTGATTGGAATTTGTTGAGCTGAATTAGAGTGATCCAGTTGACCATCTGATCCACCCACCTGGTCTATTTTTAAAACGTTGCTTTTAATTTGGGGTCTTCGTTGGTGTGGATGTGTCAGTTTCTTGTTACTTCATTACCAAAGATAGGGTAGTACGGCTAATGTAGTTGCATATCTCCCACGTTAATCATGCTGTGAAGTTGACTAGTTTATTTTTTGGTGTAACACGACTTTATAAATGCATGGTACCATATGCTTCATTCCCAACACCTTTCTTCTCGTCTTGGGCTTGTATGTTCTGGTACTCGCTTTTCTGCTATCTTTTGTTATGTCATGTTGGGACGCTGATTCCTCTAATGAATTTCCTGCTTCCAAATCTACACCTCCAGTACCAGTCTCTCTTTTCAGCCCCTTTGCTAAAAATTCAAAAAAGTGGGTACTTTTGTGGAAGGATGAGAATGGATGTAGATGTTTATATGCGTACATATCTGCATTTAAGCTACGTAGCTGAAATTTTTGTTAGAAATTGTCAAAACATGGAAATATGTGGATAAAACATACTTTTAACATATTTATATTATCCCTTCTGGTCCAATGGAGGGCTATGTGACTTTTCCTTAATTGAGCTTATTTACACTGCTCCTTTTACTTTTAGTCATAAATGAGTTGTTTTGTTTTTAAGGTAACTGTGGAGGTATTGCGTGGCGATCACAAGGAGAAAATCCCAGTAGTACTTGAACCGAAGCCTGACGAGTCATAACATACCAAATGGAGCCGGCATGTATAAATTGTATTTATAAGGAATCTTGTACATATTTAAGCCTAACTTTGAAGGCGCATCTATTTTTGTGTATATGAATAACAATCAAGTTCAAGAATCAATGCGTGCCTCCATTAGTGAAATGCTGACCAACAAATCTTTGGCAGACTTGAGAACTTGTGGTGCTGTGTTTTCCTTTTTATTTTTTTTGTTTTTGAGGCGAGAGACGTGCTCTCTTTTGCTTTGTGACGGGTAATGAAGACCTTTTGGGTGCGTTTGGAATTGGTTCCAAAACGTTTTTATTTTCTGTACGAAAATGAAAATGAAAACGTTTTTAGTTTCATTTTTGAATTATTTCTAAAAATGCGTTTGGTAGTTTTATTTAGAGATTGATTTCAGTTTTAAAAAAAACTGAAACTGCGTTTGGTGGTTTAATTTTTGAAAACATGTAGTCCAAGAAACAATATCGTGATGGTGAACGATAAAGCTTTCGGACAGTACACAAACTCTTATAAGAACAACTTCCAAATAAACGACAATAATGTACAAACGACTACGTCTTAAAGCCGACAATATTTAGAGGACTATGATGAAATTTAATAAAAAGAGAATATTCCAAAGAAACGACGTGACATCAGATAAACGAACAAGAAATTAGAAAGGTCGACATCTTCTATGAATGATAACTTCAAGAAAACGATAATAATGTGAAGTTACGACATCGTTCTAGAAACAACAATATCTTTAGAGAACTATGGAAGAAGAATACGACAAGAGCTCATGAGTATTACAACTTCCAGAAAATGAAAACAATATTGGTATACAACAATAAATGGACGGAGCCAAAGCTACCCCACTGGGGCTTAAATTTTTTTTTTTTAAATCTTATATACATAATTAGGTATTAAATATATATTTTTTTTATATAACACGTGTTTGAACCCGCAATCTCCATTCAAACCCCACTCCACCCAAAACCAACAATGCCACTAGACCAAAAGGTCATAGGCTAGTTAAGTATTATATTATATTAGTATTAATTACCCCCTACTAAAATTAATGTTAGAAGTCTATTTCTAAATTAAAAGCCTAATAGATTTTTGATTTAATTATTAGTTTTTCTAACTCTGTCATCGACAATAATGTAGGTACTCTTATTTTCTAAAAACAGCCATATTGGAGAAGCAAATAAATTTAAAAATATAATGCCTCATGACAAGGTCCAGACTAGAAATGTAAAGAGGGCAGGACGTGATGGTTATTCAAACACCGTCCTTCAGTTCGACACTGATACGAATGGCATCTCTAATTCCATAAACCGCACCCAATTTTTTATATATATTTTTTAATTTTTAATGAAATGCTAAAAGGTAATAATAAAATTCACATCACATAAAATAAAATCTTACAGATAAATTCTCCAAATCTTGACTGTCACTAACATCTAACAATGTTTTCTAAAAACGACAAGTCAATAACGGCCGCACACCTTAAACTCAATAAAAAGATATGTCAAGGGGGAAAAAAAAAACTCAATAAAAGGACAACTTTTGAAAACAATTAAATCTCTGTTTAAACGACAATAAATAAAAACAACAACAATTTGAAATGACAGTTTACGAAAACTACACAATATACGGAAAGCGACATCTGTTAGAAACACAAGTCATTAAAACAACAACCTCACGAAAACGTAAAATGATTTAAATCAACAAACATAATTAAAACTACCGTGTTGAAAACCACATCACATTAGAAAAACGACAAGATGTTTAAAAACAACAATATATAACGAAAACAACAATGTTTTTTTTTTTTTTAAATTGAAAACAAAAACAAACAATGTTTATGTAAAGGACATCAATTAGGAAATGAAATCATGCTTAAAAGACAAGTTATTACGAACTCCTCCGAAAATAACAACTTTTGAGAAACACCATATTAGGAATTCCTGGAAACGACAACCATCCTCAAATCGATAGTGTCTATGAAAACGATTAGCCGTGAATTTCAATGTTCATAACAATGACATCACAATACGGAAGCGACAAGATGCTTATAAAAGAAAATGTCACCAAAACGGCAACCTGTTTGAAACAAACACAAGAAACGAGAAAGTACGAAAACGACATCATTTGTGAAAACGACATCATTTCTGACAAACGACAGCACACTTAAATAACAACTCGAGAACGACAACCACTCATAAACTACAATGTTTAAGGAAAATGGGATTATATAAGAAAAACGAAAAGAGGGCAAAATAGGAATATTTTGTTGAATTTTTCATTTTCAAGAGCATGTGCCTCCCAAACTCAAGCTCTATCGTACTTATCCGAACTCCTCCGAAAATAACAACTTTTGAGAAACACCATATTAGGAATTCCTGGAAACGACAACATCCTCAAAATCGATAGTGTCTATGAAAACGATTAGCCGTGAATTTCAATGTTCATAACAATGACATCACAATACGGAAGCGACAAGATGCTTATAAAAGAAAATGTCACCAAAACGGCAACCTGTTTGAAGCAAACACAAGAAACGAGAAAGTACGAAAACCACATCATTTGTGAAAACGACATCATTTCTGAAAAACGACAGCACACTTAAATAACAACTCGAGAACGACAACCACTCATAAACTACAATGTTTAAGGAAAATGGGATTATATAAGAAAAACGAAAAGAGGGCAAAATAGGAATATTTTGTTGAATTTTTCATTTTCAAGAGCATGTGCCTCCCAAACTCAAGCTCTATCGTACTTATCCCCACCCTACCTATCCCAAGAGTCTAGATTTGTTGTCCCCATTCTTTTGTCTCATTGGATGTCCTTCTATTACTTATTTATCATGTCATTTAAATTTAATGGTCGGTTTTCATTCAAATACTGGAAATGTCAAAACAAAGAGATTGATGAAGACTTGTTCTTCCGCCAGTTTTAGATAACTCGTAGAAACTGCTTCTCTTGGGTAGTCTTTGATAGGAAAAGCGTCCTCAGAGACTATAGATATCGTGGCTTAATTTTTAAAAGTTTTGAAACAACTCTTGTAATAAGGTTTCATTTGATTAAAATAAAACTATTAAGTTTTCTAGTGGAAACATATGGTTTGTGGAGAAAAACAAATTAAGCTGGAAACATGTAAATTAGCAATTACTTGGGGATTAAACAATTTACACCCAACTCTCAAAAACAGATGCCTATTTTCTACATAATCATATAATTAAGACAGCCTCGTCTTTGCAGGGACGACCGACCTATAAGCAATGGTCCCTAGAGCTTCCAATGAAGTATGGTGGCCACATCTTTAACCTAACAAAAGACACAAAGAAAAGAAGAAAAATGCACTAATGAAAACTCGTGGTTCCCATAGAGATCTTAATTTCGCTACTTAATTATTAAGAAAATTAAACTTCACAAGGGAAAGGAGCCCATCTGAGGGGGTCTCCAATTTCCTTATAATATTTATTGCAAATATTAAAAACTCACTCATATGAAGCAATAACTAGTTAATAAGTACAATTTTTTTTTTTTAATTTGAGGAACAAAAGCAGTAATGAAACAAAGTTGCGATGACCGATTGATATTGGTTCATGTTCATACGGAGAATGAGGAAGAAAGGCCAAAATCAAGTCCCCAGAGCTCAAATGATCCCTTAACAAAGTCGTAGTAACCACCCTTCAATCCAAGAGTTTTGTTCACCAAGCCTTCTCTTACAAAAGGATAGGTTAGCAAGTTTCCAAGGGAGGTGTTCACTGCCTCCTGCATTATAGACATAAAACACATAATTGGTTAAGAGTAACTACGAGACGGTACAATATTTTTTATATACAATACGAGATCGAATCCTTAACCTTCTCAAACTGCATCCCACTCAAACTCTCCGGTGTCACTAGATCAATCGCTTTGGTACAATTTTTTTTTTAAAGGACATTACCATATAATATAATAAATATAGGGCTAAGTATTGTACTCACGATCTTTTTCTAGCAATAAAACATTGAAATAATTCATACCTTTTCACAGTAGGCGCATAGTTGCGGGAGATCAGCGTTAGGCAATGCAGCTTTGGTCTTGTTCTTGGCAGGTAAAGCAATTTTGACCCAGTCTTCAATGAAGTCACTGCATATGCATGAATTTTGAGCTATTTATTTTACTGAACATGTCTAATATATTTAAAAAAAAAAAATCATGACGTATATGTAGGCATCTAGACCAATCCGGTACGTTAAATACTCAATTTGTTTAAAATTAACACTGAATGTTATAAACGTTGAACTACATTTATTGAGTGTTACACGAACGTATTTTGACGAATGAAAAATGCACACTCTATAAGATCCGTTTAGTTCGTTGATTCGAGTTTTTAATTTAAGTTGACATTGTTAAAGTATAAAATTATTGTTGGCCTACCTCTTAACAGCTTAAGCTTTTGGGATGGATTGGTAAACTAACATGGTATCAGAGCGGGAGGTCATGGGTTTAAACCCCTGTAATTGCACTATTTATCCACATTTAAATTGTCATCACGTTTTGAGTCTTTAATATATCTCGAGCTTAAATATTTACGTGTTGGGCTTTCCAATTAATTTATCCACACGATTGCCCATTATCCAGCCCACGTGAGGGGGAGTGTTAAAGTATAAAACTATTGTTGACCTACCTCCTAACAGCTTAAGCTTTTGGGATGGATTGGTAAACTAACAGACATGTGACTTTATGTGAAAGGTTTTTATTGTAGTAAAAAAGTTAAACGTAACAATTTCTAAAAACATTTTATTATAGTAAAACTCGAATCGGTGAAATGAACAGATCTTACGTATTGATTAGTCTAAGTGCGTGATTATATATATCATATAGAGGGATGAACTCACGTGGAGGAGGTTCCATCAAATGGGAAGGACAAGAGCCCCTTAATCCCACCACAAGCGCTGTGACCAATCACAACAATGTATGATACCTGTGGCCCATGCAAAAAAATAATAATAATAAAAAAAAAATCAGTACCAGATTAGATTACCTTAATGAATGAAATCGATTATTTAGAAAGTTTGTCCATAATTAAGCTATATGTACGTTACCACTACAAATTTGTACTTAATTAAATCCATGGTGTTTAGACTAAAGGATGCTAATTAATTACCTTGAGATGCAAAACAGCGTACTCAATAGCAGCTCCAGTTCCTGAGTATTTACTCTGTTACCAAGAAAACTGGCGTTAAAAAATTTAAGAGCCTTGTTTAATTTGTACTCAATACGCATCATGAAACATGTCAAAAATTTTCTGGGAATTTTTCGAAAGTAAAATACTCATTTGTCCTACTTTATTTTTCACGATAAGTTTGACTTTAATTAATTAGTTTCATGATCATGTATCATCAAACCTTTTCTTTTTCCACAATGCATTTTTTTTTCTTATTTCAAAACTAAAAAATAAATATAGTAGTTTTGCTATTGAAGTAAAAAGTAAAAACTACTGTGCATATACTTTGATTTAGGGATAAGAAGGGAAATAGCATAATTGATAAAGTGATTAATAAATTATAGTCTATTTTAAAAAAAATATATTAAATTATAGCATAATTTAATATTTTAAGTTTTAAATATTATTAAAAACTCAAAAATACCCTTAAACCTCATTTTCCACCTCACTCCTCCTCCCTAAACAACTATTTTTTTAAAAATTTAATAAATTATAACAAGTCCACTTTGGATGGGACTGACAACCAGCATCGATAACCAGATACCATTTTCTGGCAAGCTGTGACCGTTTTTCAGCGACCATTAACACTGTATTTACTAGTAAATACCGTATTTACCATTTAATACTGTATTTACGAGTAAATATCATATTTATCTAAAAATTTGACTACCGACTCCGGTGACCGTTTAACACTGTATTTACAGGTAAATACTGTATTTATTAGTATATATCATATTTTTCTGAAGATCTCGCCACCGACTCTGACATCCATTAAACACTGTATTTACAGGTAAATACTGTATTTACTAGTATATATCGTATTTTTCTGAAGATCCTGCCACCGACTCCGACATCCATTAAACACTGTATTTACCGGTAAATACCATATTTACTAGTAAATATAACAGATTTCAACTTATAACTACTAAAGTATTTACATGTAAATATAATATTTACCATATTTAAAATTGTAATTACTAAAGTATTTAAAGGTATTATAATATATACCACATACAAACTTATAACTACTAAAATAATTAATGATAAATATAATATTTATCATATTTAAAATTTAAATTATTAAAGTATTTATTAATAAATATAGTATTTATCATATTCAAACTTATAACTACTAATATTATTTTTAAATATATATTATTTATCATATTCAATCTTCTAACTACTAAAATATTTATCAATAAATACACTATTTATCAAATTTCAAACACAAACAAAACAAATCTAAAATAAAGTGGATATTTGGTTCACGAATTTAGAATTATGATTTATAATTATTCTCAATTCACATATTTTTTTTTTTTAAAATACTGTAACGAACCGAACTATAATTTAAACTATAACACGAATTCTCGTGACATACACCCTAAAAATTATTCTCAAATCACAATCGCAAACTCATATCCCAACCGAGCTCCGGCGAGCCCACGTAAATCGCGCTGCCAAAATTTTTTTTTCCAAATTACATCATTTCTCAGCAAAAGAAAAAAAAACCAAAACAAACTAAAACTCAAGCAACGGCGAACGCCGAATCTGATCGTCACCGTCATGAAATCCACGGCCATCCTTCCATCATATCCACAACAGATCGGCGACGAGAGAAAAGAGAAAACCGGAGAAGAAGATCGGCAATGGATTAGCAAAAATGCTCGCGAATCGTCGCTAGAGAAGAAGGCCGGCCTCGGGACTCAAACGAATCGGCGTCGGGGAAGAAGCCCGTCGGAGATCCATGCGCCTCAGAGCGAACTCGCGAAGGAAGGTCGCCGAAGATTGCAATCGGCGATCGCTGAAGATCTCTCTCGCGCGGTGGCTTCATCGGTCGTCGAAGCCACCATCGCCGCTGTCGTGGTCATGACGGCGATGAGGGAAGTGAGAGTCGGAAGAATAAGCCGCCATTGTCGCGTCTCCGATCTCCGCCAAACCACAGCGGCAAGTTGTCCTTGAAGAGAGAGACGAAGAGGTGAGAGAGAGAGCGTGCGGTGGGGGAGAGAGATCGTGCAGGGGAGGACACATCGTGGAGGAAGAGAGAGATACTATTTGGGAGGAAAGAGAATATGATGAAAAGGGAGGGAGGCAAAATAAAACTCTAACAGGAGGGGTATATTTGAAAAACAATATTTATTTTTATAGGGAAATGTTTAAACATGCTATAATTTACCCAGTTTTAAAAAATATGTTATTTACTTGAAAAGCATATTTAAAATATGTTATTTAGTGCATTTTCTTTTTGATTAATAGATTTAAACAAAGATTTAAATTTTTATGGTAGAAAATACTATAATAAAAAAAAATTTAATTGTGACATATATATATATATATATATATGCAGGGGAAAAAAGAAAAGGAGAGTTAAAAAAGAAAAAAGAGGCAAATGAAGATGATAGGTTTGTGGGAAAACCTGGTCATAGGGAGGGACAATGTTAGCAACATTACGGACCACAAAAGCCTCTCCTGGCTGGAAATCCAGAACATGTGATGGGCAAACCCGAGAGTCTGAGCAAGCAAATACCATAAACTGCCAACAACCATAAACATTCGTCTTCAATACTCAATTAAAAATTTCTTCTTCTTATTCTTCTTTTTGGTCCTTTTGACTACAAGACCAAATTGAGATTAATTAGACAAATATATACACACACATATATTTATATACATGTATATCATACCTTGGGGCTTTGTCCTTTGGCAAGCTCAGAGTAGAGAGCTGGATTGGCGCTGTGAAAGAGTGGGCAAAAGAGAACTATTTTTCAACATCATCACAATATATATATATATATACACACTTATATATATGACATACAAACACTCATATATATATATATAAGACTATATATTATAAAATTGAATGTGATGAGAGGAGGGGTTTGAGACTGACTCATATTTCTCCTTCTTGAATTTAATAAAGCCAGACTTGATTCTCTCAACCGGGTCAAAGTCGGGTTTTCCATCTGCAGGACTCTGTAATTCGGCAGTTATCTGCTCCACCTTGGAAGCTGCCACAGGTTTCAAATCTCCCTTCTCACTGCAATATTATTATCATTACATTACATGTATACGTATATATATAGTATGGCTCAATTTATTAATGTGTATTGTTAATTATTAGCATGCAAAGCTTAAAGGGTAATTGTATTATGTTATAGAAAATTTAATTTGTATGCTTGTGATATAGGCATATATATATATATATATATAGTAGATACCTGAGAAGCTTTTGAAGAGCTGCAATGGCCTCCTCGTATGATTCCTTCCCCATGTCTTCTCTCTGCAGATAATTAGATGCAAAATGTAATTAGGAACGGATAATGAGATTAACCTTTAAATTAGAGGTCATTACAAAGTGCCTAGGCTTAATCAGACCCTTTAAAATGTATATAAATTCAAGATTAATTAACTAATTATAGGAGTAATTAGATTTAGACCTCAACGCAAAATGGACGTTTTCTTCGTGCGAAAGCCGAAAGGTGATACTGTTTTGTGTATCCTCCAAAGAATTCGGTAGCTAACGGCTAGCTTCTTTCATGTTTTATAGTGGATTTCTGTTTTTCGGTACAAATTGAAATTGAAATTTAAAAAAAAAAAAAAAATCAAAGGAACTGTATGTGCCAAAAGCATAACCACACACGTATTATTAAATGACAAGTAGGCTTTTGAGAACCAATTAAGTGTCACCGCGTTAAACAAGCCACATGAGTAGTAAACCAATGAGTGATCACCACGTATTAATATCTAGATGGTTAGTTGTTTGACAACAACACAAAGTTAAAGCCAAAAACAGCGGTTTATAATTGTGAAACACGGAGGCTTTCATGCAATATTAACTACAAAAAGCACGTACACCTCAGCCAATTTATGTAAATATTAAGCTCACGTTAATCAACACCGCCATTCACATGCAAGCATAACATCTTCTAAATCCCAAAACCATAACATCAAGTATTGTTATTCAAAAAAAAAAAAAATTTTAAAAAGAAACCTTGCGGCATTATAGGATCTACATTGTCCAATTTGAATTGTAGTTTAAGTTCCATGACATGTTTTAAGATACACATGCACACTAACAAACAAACGTTACAAAATTCAAACATTCTAATAATTAGTATATATGAATGTCACATTGTACTCAATTTACGATAACACTTGTATATACATCTGTTTGAACTATCGAGATTATAACGTTTATACATTGGTTGGACTAAGAGAGATAGAAAGAGAGAGTTACCAAAGTGGGGGTGATGATAGGGGCGGGGGCAGCAAAAACAGGCTTGTTCCGGATGAGGCTGGGAGGAGAAGAAGAAGAGCCGAGCCTCGCGAAAACGCGTAATGCGGGTCTCCTAAGAGAGGAGGACTGGGCAGGAGACACAGAGGAAAGGCACGCGCTGTTGATGGAAGCCGAAGACATTGTGCAGGCGCCTCCAGAACTTGTTTGCTTTATAGTTTATACCCCCACAATCACCACATATCACAACAGATAACGAAAGCGAAATCCCAGCCAACGAGAGCTTCTTCCTTTCAAGATGAGGTTTGAGCGTTGGAGAATGAATCTGTTTCATTGTCTCTCTATAGAATTATACTTTTCATTCATTCATCCCTCGTAATTCCAATGTCATTTTAACCGTTATGTGGCTCTTTCAATATATGCCTGTCCAGACTAATTAAGATCCACATTTCTTGATTTTTAGTGTCCATGCAGTGACTGTTTGCCACGTGGGTGGAGAGAACCTTCCGGTGTGTCCATTTAATCCTGGTCTGCATATGTTGTCGTCCCAAGGCTGATCATGAGCGCGATCCATCATAATCATACGTCCATGTATCATAAAATAGATGATCATTTTAATTAGTTACATGCATGACCATAAATATATGTGTGTGTATATATATATATAGAAGTGCAGTAATATTGCCAATATAATGAGTAGGTTCATCTTTGTATAATGTTGCTCTTATGACAAAAATGCATGCCGTACGTCAAGATCAATATTGTTATGTATACTTGTAAATGAGCGAAAAAAAACATAATTGAAACCCACCTACCAATGTATACAATCCTTTACTTTCGTACTTAATAGGTACTTCTCATGTTCTTGTCTAGCTTCGACAATATATATACATGCTATATAGCTGCACTTCTTCTCTAAATTAACTTGTCCTTTTTTCGTTAAGATATTAGAATAACTATGTAAAATTAATAAAAGAGATTTTGTATATAATTTTCTGAGTCCAAATTATTTGCCTATGACGACATTACATTATTAGTGTATACTTGTATGTATATATGTACATGTAAGTAATTGATGTCGATGCCAATTATGATTTTTGGTAAATAAAAAAAAAAAAGACAGTAAAATGGAGAAAAGAAATTACTTTCACAATAGGACAATATATCTTCTAGAGGGTTCTTCAGGTAATATCCTTAGTGAAATAAATATTCAATGGTGCAGATGTGACTGGCACAATGTGTGAAGGATTGAAGAGATAAGCCTATCCTAAAAACACGGTTCTTGTGGAATGCATGGGCATCCAAAGGGGATTGAGTCACACATCGCGTTTTAGTGCTGGTTTTCTGATAACAAAGTAGTATTACCAAGTGCATTTGTCGCTATATTGAGCACCCCCAAAAAAAAAAAAGTGCATTTAGTTGCTATATATTGACTGTTCGTCATCTCCAAGAGTACTATTGATACAAGTATGGAATTTTTGTGACTTCCTTAGAGAACATGATTAGTAATTTCCACTATGTTTAAATATAGACATAGTCCATTATATAATTATGTACTTCTAGCAAAATTTCTAGACTCGGCCATTACTTTCTCTCTATATATATATATACACACACATTATATATATACACGCAATATTGCCAAATATAGACATAGTCCATTATATAATTATGTACTTCTAGCAAAATTTCTAGACTCGGCCATTACTTTCTCTATATATATATATATATACACACACATTATATATATACACGCAATATTGCAATATAGATATATATGTATGTATGTATATTGTTTAATAACAATATGTATTGTTCTTTATATGGCTGATGTTTGAAGCTCGATAATGTTTGTTAAGGTTATTTTGCTCTAAATTTTCTTGTCAAGTGACAAATACTCGAGGTATAATTAATGATTTTTTTTTTCCAAAAAAGAAAAAAAAGGGGGGACAGAGACTAAAAGAAGAGACAAGAAGAAAAGAAAAGGAAGTAGCAACTTGACAATGCAATAGTATTGTTTCGAAAAAGAATAATAAATATGACTGGAGATGATGTCGTTTTGCAACATTAGCAATACATTTATAATTTGATTTCGAATGTTTATCAGTTTATGGAGGTGGAATAGTTGTTTCAGTATTCAGTTCAATTCAACAATATTGCTCATACTATTTTATATATAAAGTTCCATTTCTATTAAATTGTCAATGCAATAGTACATTGTTTCGATGACCGAAAAAGAATATGACTCGAATGTTGTCGTTTTACAATATAATAAAAGGTTTGATTTCGATATATGTTTAACGGTTTGTGTGGTGGAATAGTTGTTTCAGTTTACAATTTGTTTCAACTCATACTTTCATATTTTAAAAATTACATTTTCTATAAAAGGTCGTACTTAAGTTGTTCTTCGTACTTGTTTGATTTGACAGTTCAAATAAGATGATTCGAATCATAATTTAAAATTTGTGAGCGAAAATATTATGACATAATTTTTTAAATTTAATTTTTTTAAGAGAAAACAATGTTTGAATTAAAATTAAGATGGTTTGAACCAAGGTGGTTTTAAATTAAATTGTTTGCTTTCCCATAACATTTGCTTACCCATGGGCCATGTCCCTCCCGGCACTTGAATACTATTTCAAAACACGTACTTAATATTTATTTTGCTTTGTCTGCATGTTGTAATTTTACGTCTTAAGGAAATAATGTATACCAGCTAAAATATAAAAATCTACGTGTCCTTCTCCTACTATCTAATCCGTTCATTTCGTTGATTCGAGTTTAGAATTCGAATTTTGTTACAGTAAAAAGCTCTCAGAAACAGTCACATCTAACTTTTTTGCTACAGTAAAAAGCTCTCACACAACATCACATCTCAACTCGAATTAAAAACTCGAATTAGCGAATTGAACGGGCCCTAAAACTTTAGAGAAAGAAAGAAAAGAAGTTAATGGAGGAACTTTGAAGAGAATATTTTTAAGTTATTAGGGAGAAAATTGGTGAAAATTTTTAAATACATAATATATATAGATCCCATTGTTCTAAAATCCTTTCAATGGGCTGGTCGTTCATAGATGGGCTCTCTCTCAAAGGCAGGTTCTCTCGTTGTCCAAAAACAGAGAGAATCGACTGACCCATCTTTGAAAAGTTGGAGAGAAAAAAGAAATAAAAGAATTGCAAATAAGAAACCAAATATTTATTTTTCTTATTTTATATGGGGATATAATAGTAACACAAGTACAACATATTGAACAATTTTCTTCATTTTTATTTTGGAAAGAGTTTGATAATTCAACACACCTGATTCGATAAATATATAGACCAAAAAAAAAAAAGAGAAGCTCTGTCTCTCATTCTTTGAATTCTTTATTCTTGGATCTCTTGAATACATATTAGATATATGTAGATTAATTTTGGTGTATGAATTATGCCAAAGTCATGAGAAATAGATGTAAGAATGATTCAAACCTGCACAATCTCTACAAAGGCGGTACTAAAATCAGGTAACCATCTTCCATGGCACAGATTCTTCTTGGTCATGATCTTCGTCAACAGGAGGATTAAGAAACCGTTAATTGCTTCCCTAAATTTGTAGCAGAAAGAGGAAGAGGAAGTCATTGAAACTTAGAAGAGTTCAATTGTGTGAAACATTTATTATAAGCTTAGGCGTAGCTGGCAACTATCTTCAAAGTGTCGACATTTTGAGCAAAACAACATTAGGCCAATGTCGACATCCTCTGCTCATTTTCTTGACACTTATTATTTGCTTCTTGTTTTTTTCTTTCTTTCTTTCTACTACTTGCAAAGCTCATTTTGTGTTGATATGTACAGTTTCGATAGAGGAGAATTATATATTGACATCCAAATTTCATTAGGGCACCATTTTTTTTTATTTTTTTTTATTAAATTGTTATTTAAAATTCATAGAATTCGGCTCATATATTACCTTTTGCGTCTATCATGTTACGTCAATTAAAATATTTTTACTGGCAAAACCTTGTATCATAATGCTTTAATTGATATGACATTATATGATTGGAGAAAATGAAAGGGTACATAAACAAATGGACATAAAAATCGAATCTAAATTTACGTCCCTTAAACAATTATCTTCCCTAACTTTACTAATTCACATTTAACAAATAATAATCAATTTAAAACTTCCTAATAAAGTTATCCGCCCTTAACATTTTTTTTCTCAAATTTTGTGCTTTCCCTCCCGTCCTTATTAAACAAACGGTTACTAGTGCAAATAGTCACTAAGCTTTTAAATTAGTGCCTTAATTTTTTTTATTTTGACAATTAAATCACTGAACTACTAATTTAGTAGGGATGATTACGCTGCCTACCATGGAAACCAGGTGTGGATCGACTTTTGACAGGGGCGAATAAACTCTTAGGGCCCGTTTAGTTCATGTGTTGAAACCCGTAATTCTTCATTTTGGCATTTGAAATTTATATTTTTTATGAGAGGTAAATATTGTAGCAGAATCAAAATAATTTAAACGTAGTAAGCAAATGAGCCCTTAGGTTTTATGCCATGTGGCAGAACAAAAATCAAAACAAAAAGACTAAAATGCCCTAAACTGACTTAGGGGTTTTTTCTCATTCTTTGATCCTCTCACTGTTTTACCTCTCTTCCTCTCACTCACTCTCTTAGTTGCTGACGTCCCAACCTCTACCTCTCTACTTGCGCCGTTGCTGTCACGTTCACCGGCGACATGCCTGAGACACTGGCTTGAAGTTTCTCACCCATGCGATGGGAAGATCTCTCGCACGATTCCTCTTCCGTTAAGCAGAAAGCTCGATGCACGAAGCTCTTCTACCTTCGTACGTGGGGAGATCACTCCCCATGAGGACCCACAACGTAGAGGAGATATGATGCGCCTCTGCACTGGTCTTCCGGCCATGATCATGGAAGAGATCTAATCTCCTTCTTGGAGATCTTCTGCTAGAGATCGATCATCGAGACTCAAGTAGATTTCTACACTAGTCGAGATCGTTGCCTCAATTCGCCGCCGTGGAAGAAATTTGCCTTGCCAGTTTTGTCATTTATTCCAGCTATGTTCGATCGCTTTTCCATGGCAAAAGGTTTTTTTTTTTGGTTTTGTAATTTTTGATCTATGGTTATGGAACTTCTGTGAATATGTTGGTGATTTTTAATTGTTTGAACGATGGGGACCACTGTGGTGCCGTCGGTATTGTAGTTATAAACCAGTGTTGTGGTGGATACTAACCAGTATCACAATCAGATACCGGTATCCACAGCGCCAAAAAATCTCTCGCGGAGGAGATCCGGGCACAGGGAGATCCTTGTAACAACAAACCAACCGTCAGTGGCCTTCGATCTCCTTGCAGCTCCGCTCCATCGATTTTTACGTGTTATTCTCGGTAAGATATTGGTATCGTGGCCGGTATCACAATGGATATCGGCAAATACCTTAATGGCATGTTTACTTATTCGTAATCGGAGTGGACATGAATCAAAGTGGACATAATTTATAGTGGATAGAAATGAGAATCAGAATAAACTATTTACTTAGATTTTAGAAATCGGAGTCATAATCAGTCCCAATCTCATTTATGCATTTACTTACATCCAAAATCAGAATAAACTGTTATAAATTTACTTACCTACTATTTTAGTAGATTTTTATGTGTTGAACTTAAAAAAAAAAAAAAAAACTGTATATTATGCTAACTATCTTAATATTAGGATAACTAATTAGTAATCAAAATTTTTTAATCACATCTAATTAATCATTTAAATTATTTTTCCTCAATAAATTTTGAAATAATTTAAAGAAAAAAAATATAATAATGAAATAAAATAAGAACACTTAAACCCCGCGATTAAGAATTTCAAGGATGTATCCCTTCTTGAGTTGATTCAGAATGTTATAGATTACACCTAGCAAATCATGCTTATTTGCCAAAATATTAGTGGCATCATATACTTGATCATCATCTAAGCCATCAGTTTTCATCATTTCTTGATACAAGTTGGCATGTAATCCAACTAGATCCTTATCAGCCGTGGAAAGCACATCAATAGGACTATTTAATTTGTTAGTAGAATTAATAGTAAAATCTTAATTCACATTTACTATTAGGATTGGGAGTGCCAATCCGGTGGGGGGAGTGCCAATCTCATTCCTCAACCCTAAATTGGTGTAGGACCCACACATTCTCACTCACATTCTAAGATAAAAATGGGTAAGTAAACATGAGGTTGATTTCGATTCTCAATTCCTATTCCCCACTCCTGGTAAGTAAATATGCCATAAGAGTATATTTAGTACTCAAATATAATGTGATGACGTGGTTGTAACCATTTTTTTAATAAAAAATGAAGAATTATTCTTGAGTATATGAATCTGAACTTTTATTCCTTACTCTTGATAAATATCTTTTTGTTAGTGTAATTATTTAACTAAAAAGATTACAAAATAAGAATAAATGATAAAAATCTTAAGGGAAATAGTAGAAAATATGCCAATATGAAAAGCTTAAGAAAGTATATAAGCCAATTTTTAGTTATAGAAATTAATAAGTCATAACTTATCAAGTTATGGTTCATAACCAGATAAGTTATAGATAAACTTGTCAAGTTATAGATCATAGTCATACAAGTTATGGACAAAAATTGTAAATTATGGACAATAACTTGTCAAGTTATGGTTCATAACCAGACAAGTTATAGACGAAAACAGTAATTTGGCCTATTTATTAACTTATGTAAACTATTGACCTATTAATTTTAATTTATCTCAAATCTTAACCTATTTTTCTCTTTCTCCCAAATCTTAATTTATGTTTATTTGTCAAAATTACCCCCTTTTTTTAATGTTTTTGTCCCCTTGTATAACTCAATCCATTATCCATGTGAAGAGCTCAATTTAGTAAGAGATTCGGCCCATATCTATAACATGAGTCTGACTTAGTGTGGAAAGAGAGACTTACAAGTGCGTACTGTTTCCAGCCTCTTATTTAAGGAAATTTGGGCTTTTCTTAAGTAGTTTCTGGGCCCTTTTTAATTGGGCTTCTAATGGGCTGGATATGTTAACGTCAAAAAGTAAAATAAATAAAATAAAATAAAACTGAAGTTAGATATTAAAATACAATTTACAAACCCTAGGAAGCAAGAAAGGTACTAAAACGCAGAAGCTCCTCTTTCCCCCTCGTTCATAATCAGATCTCTCTCCGATTCGAAACAACCCTGCATTATTCAGGTACTTCTCCTTCTTCTTCTCCAGAAATTCAGTAAAACAATAGCTTTGAACTAAGTGAATTTCAATTGTTAATGGTCCAGAAATCAAATCAGTTCACCTGGAAAAAAATCATAGATTTTAGCTAATTGAGAAACTCGGTAGTAGTATTTGCATTAAGTATTTGGATTGGTTTGATTATTAGTACAGTTATTTTCTTATGTTTTCATAGATTTTTTGGGGTTTTTTTTTTCCTCTTCTTTTTGCAGAGCTAGGGTTAGGGTTAGGTATTTTGAAAGCAATCGGCAACAATGGCTTCTTCGTCATCTTATCTACCGGCCACTACCGATTCAATTGCACAGGCTTTAGAAGCCAAAACCCCTTCCGAATCGATTTCTATACTTTATCGCGTTCTCGAAAACCCGTCCTCTTCTTCCGAAGCCCTACGGATAAAGGAACAGGCAATATCGAATCTTTCCGATCTTCTTAGGCAAGAGAATCGGGCTGAGGATCTCAGAAATCTCCTTACCCAATTGAGGCCTTTCTTTAACTTGATCCCCAAGGCAAAAACCGCGAAGATTGTTCGCGGGATTATAGATGCCGTGACTAAGATACCAGGGACTTCTGCTGATCTTCAGATCTCTCTTTGCAAGGAAATGGTTGAGTGGACCCGGGCCGAGAAGCGGACTTTTCTCCGCCAGCGAGTCGAGGCGAGGCTTGCTGCTCTTTTGATGGAGAACAAGGAGTACTCAGAGGCACTGAGTTTGCTTTCTGGGTTGGTCAAGGAAGTGAGAAGACTTGATGACAAGCTTCTGCTTGTGGACATAGACTTGTTGGAGAGTAAGCTCCATTTCTCTTTGAGGAATCTTCCGAAAGCGAAAGCCGCTCTCACGGCTGCAAGGACAGCAGCCAATGCTATATATGTGCCCCCGGCTCAACAGGGCACTATTGATTTGCAAAGTGGAATCCTTCATGCTGAAGAAAAGGATTACAAGACTGCTTATAGTTATTTCTTTGAGGCATTTGAAGCCTTCAATGCTCTTGAGGAACCTAGGGCCGTGTTTAGCCTCAAGTATATGTTGCTGTGCAAGATTATGGTGAACCAGGCTGATGATGTTGCGGGAGTAATATCGTCCAAAGCGGGTTTGCAGTATGTGGGGCCGGAGCTGGATGCCATGAAAGCTGTTGCTGATGCGCACTCGAAGCGCTCTTTGAAGCTCTTTGAGACTGCTCTGAGTGATTTCAAGGCTCAGCTAGAGGAGGATCCCATTGTCCACAGGCATCTCTCGTCCCTCTACGACACACTGTTGGAGCAGAATCTTTGCAGGTTGATCGAGCCTTTCTCAAGAGTGGAGATTGCTCATATCGCTGAACTGATAGAGCTGCCGGTTGATCATGTGGAGAAGAAGTTGTCTCAGATGATTCTGGATAAGAAGTTTGCTGGGACTTTGGACCAGGGTGCTGGATGCCTCATCATTTTTGATGATCCCAAGACCGATGCTATATACCCTGCGACGTTGGAAACCATATCTAACATTGGCAAGGTTGTAGATAGCCTTTATGTCAGATCTGCCAAGATAATGGCATGAGGATGAAGGTTGGGAGGCAGTTTTCCTGCTTCAATAGCTTGGTTTTCTGCTTGGATCAGTGGCTTGGACGCTCGGAATGCACACAAAGACAAAAGTAATCCATTTTATCTTTCAGATTTTAGCATATATTTTGGATTATGTAATTTTCGCCATCTTGGCATTCATTTTAGATAATGTAAAAACTTTTAATGTGCCTCGCGTCGGATTTCTCTCATGGTTATTTTGTTTGGAAGTAGCGCATCCATGCACTCCTTAGATTTATTGTTTTTGCTTCTTCTTGAAAATATGAGAGACTCCATTAAACCATTAGGTCTTGATTATAAAAGGTTTGGTGTGTTCGAGATTTGAAAGTCTTGCAGGAGAGAGTTAATATACGAAACTAAAACCTTACAGAAGTTTATGGGAGAAATCAAATAACAACTATCACTTTTAGAGAAGTTTGTGAATACGTTTGCTGGAGAATTGCGCGTAGTGTATCATTGTGTGGAGCACAGGTTGTTTCTTGAAAGATGACTGTTCTTTGAACATAATTTTATTATTATTATTGTTATTGTCACTAAAGAGAAGCAGAAAACGTTCTTTCCTCAGCTTTTGTGAGGTTGGTTCTTGCATTGACTTTGCTGAGTTGCGCCCGCTTTTATATTGAGCTTGTTTTCAACAGTGGTCCTGAGTTGTTTGATTTCAGAGATTGTGGATTTGATATTGGAGAACTTTCGCGTACTTCTATTTGAATACAGGTACAGAACGATGTTGTGTGTGTATTTCAGTCGATTTCATGGATTTTACATTGGAGAACTTTCATATACTTGAGTGATAAGCATTATGAAGCGTTGAAGCTGCAGCATTTTTGTTCGTACGGATCATGATTTAAATTGTATGTTATTGCCGGAAAGTGAAACCTCGGAAAATCGTGATTGCATATCATATTGTTTTCACATTAGCGTGAAATAATGCCGAAATCGCACAAAGAATATAAATTAACGTAAACATTTGAGTTCAAAGTATTATTCAAGCGTATATACTAGTATAGACAAGAGGAGCAAGAAAACAAGGCGAAATGAGATGTTAGTCCAAACAAATGTTGGGTACAGGACAACTTATTCTTTTCTTGTATATTATTATTGTAATGAATAGCAACAAAATTCTTGTTTCGTATAACTCCTACTTGCATGAGGGAATTGAAACCGCCAGGGGAAAAATAAAAATAAAAATGGAAACGAAGAAAAGAAAGGAATTGACAGTGCAACATAAAAGACTCATACCAAATAAATAAATAAGTAAAATTTACTAATGACATTCAGAAATAGGATATGATATTTGTGCCTGCGCTGAAGTACGATTATTGGTGCCTCGAGAAGCATTTGTTATTCACTTATTCTTGTTGTCATGGATTTCTGTAGCCTCCAACTTAAAAGCCTAACCGGGTTCGAATCATGTGACCAACTACTTTGGAGTTAGTCTGATTGGACAAACGGAGAATGCCACACAGCGAGCAGCTTTCGCAAGCATGAAGCGCTCATTTTCTGTCAATGGCCTCTCAATCACCTTCACAACGTTTGCATCCTAAAAGAATGGTAAACAGACATCAGAACACATACACAATTCACAGGCAAGGCTGAGAGAGAGAGAGACAATTTGAATGTTCAAAGAAAATGGCTGACAAGAAATAAATGTACTTTCTTTTGCTGTTGAACTGAAGGCCACACACTCGCAGTATCACCGATCACAATTAAGTTGTTCGAATTCCCTCCTTCATCCTTTTCTACCGGTGACGTCGTCGAATGCCGCCATTGCCCGTTAACAATGTACTTGTAGTAATACCTGAACAGCATGAGTATATAGCTCAAGTCCCCCCAAAATGTAAAAGACACTTTAGTTATAACATGATCTGTGACGTGCACGCAAGATATAGTGTGTCAAGATGCACTAAACCCCTATTTGTTTCAACAACTCAAAACCGTTATTTAGGATTCAAACCTTAGTTCAGGAGTTAAGCTGATATTTGGGAGAGAAAAATTCAATGACAATTCAAACTATTAACAATGGTTCAAGGACAACTCAAATTGTTGATTTTAGAATTCCCCTCCCCCCTTAAATCCTAACAATCTGAATTATTGTCAACAGTCCAATAGTTTTAAATTTTACTTTTTCTCTCTTCAATGTCAATCTTAAAAATGTCATAACTTCTTCGTTTTAATTCCGATTGAGATGATTTTTTTGTAATGTGTTCTTAATGAATCCAGGAACAAATCCCCACCCATATTGCATATTTTTTAATGTCATTTACAATGAGGTTTTATAAGATTTATTACAAAACTCTAATGACAGTTTTCAACACTTTATCCAAACACAGTTCGGATTTTATTCCCAATTCAAATTACAATTTATTTGGATATCCAAACAACAGTTCGGATCACGGTTTGAATCACCACACTTCAAATTCTACAGTTCTAACAAAAAAGGTTCAAATCTCCGTAGTTTGAGTTGTTGAACCAAACAAGCCCTAAATATTATCGCAGCTTTCTTTTTATCAAAAACGAAAATACTCATGAGATTAAAAAAAAAAAAAAATCAAAATCACAGAGACCTGTCAAGATGTGTTATAGTGCACATTTATGAGTTAAGTTATGACACAAAATAAGTGACTAAAGACTATGCACTTACTTTCCTTGCGGAAGTCTAACTTCTACTTCATATCTTGATCCACCTTTATGATTAGCTCGAATTGTTTCTTTCCAATTTCCAGTGAAATCTCCAACAAGATTTACATCCTCCCCCTGGCAGACAACATAAAATGGATTGAGAAGCAGCAGTGGAACATAAAATCTTATTGCTAATCAGTTATAGCAGCAGGAACAATGTCTATGGGTTTCCTTCATAAAACTCTTCTACATATTAATTCCTGGCTTGAAGCAGAATAGAACTGAAATCAGAAATTAGTAATCACCTCTTGCCCGTTCCACACGAATATTACAGCATGCGTTGCGGGTCCGTCATGTCTGCCATTTTCCACCATAGCTATGAGATCCCATGTTGCCCAAACAATTGCCGGCCTGCCGCTAACATGAAGGGAATGAATTCTCAAGTCATAGAGGCAGCAATGAAAAACAGCTAAAGACGACAACTAAGACAAAATGCTATTATAAAAAATAAATAAATAAATAAAAGGATTGCTGAGAAGAACCTGTCTGGCATACACGAATGCAACCCTGTGACAAAATTATATGCCGCATGAAGGGAAGTATCGGTCATCCAATGCAGGTATGCTATCACGCAAGCAGGAGATCGATCAAATCCTGTAGTACAAGTAACATAAACGCGATGATTCTTTTTTAACAAGCGTAATAGCAGCCCCACGCAAAATGGTAGTTTCTTCCTCATATCAAAAGAATCCCCATCCCTGCAAAAGAATATGCCAAATTTTACCAAGTTGTAACCAGCTACGGAGCTCTAACTAAAAAATACTCCATCTCATATCAAATTTAGGACTTCCTCAAGCACCCTCCTTAAGTATGCATCCGAGAATCGATGCATCATAAATTTGAAAATTTTCTTTTCATCAATAAACGGTATTGCATAGAACCTGTTATTTTACCTTATAGGACAGTTGATCACAAGGATACCAGATTTTTGGCATGATTCAGTAATCAACTTGGAATCAAGTCCCCAATTTTCTGCCTCAACTCCACTTTGGAAACTAAGCACAGCAGTGACTCCCTGTAACCAAATGCAGTTAATGAGCAAAAATTTAAAGAGAAACAAGTAGACACGATATAATGGATAATCACCAAACATAAGTTCTTGAGTGCAAATTGTAAATACAAACTACTGAACGGGCAATTACTAGATCTTCTTCTGCCACTTGTGAGTATGCAGATATATATAGATGCACACCCTCTATACCTGGGTCAATGTGATAGGTTTCCAACAACTCAGAGAAAAGATTAGCAATTTGTTCAAAATAAGCGTGTAATAGTACTCACCACTGTCTTTGACAAGGTCTCTACATCAGCTTCTGTCTGTATACATGATCCGACATATATCTGCTCTGTGATCTAAACAATAAAATGACCAACTAAATGGATCAGTGATGTAACAAAAAATATGCCAAATACTCCTTAATCAAAGTGTGATGGCATAGAGTCCATAACAACCAACAAAAGTTTATAGCACAAGCATAGTTGAATAGCACACCTTTTTTTAAGAACAGAAAACAAAAGCTGAATAACACACCTTACTATAGCGCATACCAAGCGAGTGATTATAGTAAAGCTCGCCTTTAGTGCGATCGATTGCCTTTACGTATTCCTCTAGCGGGAAATTCCCATGAGCCCAATCACCATCTCCAGGCTCTTCTTCAGAGAAAATACAAACGAGTGGGCTCAAGGTCACGGGTGGGGTGAGCGTATTCTTCTGCATTTGTGATTGAACATGTCCATTTTGATCATCCAGAAATTGCCATCCTTGTGGATTTAGAAACTTCGAAGAGAAAGTTACAAAACCAGAATTCCCGCCGCTCTCAGAAGACGCTTGCAAATTCGATGCCAATATACTCTTGTTCCAAGTGGCAATAGGAACTTTGCCTTTGTTAAATGAGTTATCTAGATCATTCAACATAAGCAGTTCATGAATTGGAAAAGGAGAGAAAGGCCTCTCAAGGACAAGGCTGAAAGACCCAGTTTTCTCTTTCAGCATCTTCCTGAAGAAACCAAAGACTGAAAAAAATAAAAATGAAAAACTTAATGAACACCATCAATACTAAAATCATTTAGAAATATCTCAATTTTGAAAAGTTCAAACTCAGACTCTATTTATTTTGGCAGTGTAATTATCCATCGTAATCACCTGATTCTGATTTACATCCATTCTTACAACTTAAACTAAAGAAAAATGCCATTGTTCATTACTTCATTAAGGTGCAAATGAAATTAAGCACTTCAAAAAAGAAAGAAAGTTCTAATCAGATATAACAAAAAGGATAAACATCATACTGAGTATCGCCAAAGTCCTTGATCTCACTAAACCTGCCATCAGACGGATCACTTGCCTTCTTCAAAGCATCGCCCACCATAACTATCCTGGACTTCTCCGCATTACCCTTCAACAACCAAAAAAAAAAAAAAAGAGATCTTTAAATCAAATAGAAACGTAAAATATTCTAACATAGAAAAAAAAATTGAAAAATTAAATACCCCTTTCTTGAGAGCGTGAACGAAGATTTTGCCGTCGACGGAGAGGGCGAACCGAATACCGAGCGGCTTCTCGAGAGTGACCATGTACTGGTTCAGATTCATCTTGAACGGCGAGCCGTTCGACATCGCCGAAACCCTGAAACCACGGCCATCGAAACGGCGTCGGAGGTTGTCTCTTCCGACGGGAGTGCAAATAACTCGGCCGCCCCAAAACGACGTCGGACGCGGCGGCGGAGATCGGTCGAGAGCGAGAGCTCTGCAACAGGGGATTTGCAGAGCGGACATTCTGCCAGGGTTTCTGGTGGAGAGAGACGATAATTGAGGGTGGCCTTTAGCTCCAAATATCCATTTGACTGTGGCTTGGTTTGCAGTGGGAGTGTGGAGTAGAGCAATGTCCTCTCTCTCTCTCTCTCTCCCCTCTGTTTTTACTCTCTAGAGAGAGAAGCCAGAGAGTACGGGCCAAGAATTTGTGTGACACGCGTGGCTTGTTTATTGGGCCCATCTCACGAGGATCTGGAGTTTTGAACACTTTTATTTAGAAAACGCCACGTTGAAATTTCGGCGAAACGCATCATTTGGAAGAGTATCACCCAATAATATATCGCCAAGTCAGCAAAACTCGATGTCTGAGGATGTTTCTGTAATCTTGCATTGTTGTGAAAATATCTTTTCGTACAGATGCCACGTGTTAGTCTAGGTGAAGTGGGCGTAGCTATTTTGAGATAGGCTCGGGGGCATTAAAACAAATCTGTTGCTTGGCGCCAAATATCATGGAAGCAGTAAAATATCCGAACCAACCACTGCCCAGTGCCCACTACTTCCTCCAGAGAAAGACCCGTTTACTTCGCTAATTCGAGTTTAGAAGTTGAGTTGAGATGTAACTTTATGTGATAGTTTTTTATTGTAGTAAAAAAGTAAGATGTGATTGTTTGTTAGAGCTTTTTATTGTAGAAAAACTCAAATTCTAAACTCGAATCAGCGAAATGAACGAGCCCAGAAATTGTTAGTATCGGTTGTCTTTTTTCACGTTTTGATATAAGATTTATTGAAATAAATGAAATTAAAACCGTGAAATAATGAAAGACACGAGAGAAATAGTATCACAGTTCAGCACTTACTTATTTTATGGGATCACGTTAAAATGATGAACAATTCATTAAGTAAATAATGTTACAACTAGTGCTGGAACTTCGGGTCGGCGGGCCGCCCGAAGCCCGAATTTTTTCGGGCTCGGGCGGGCCGGCCCAATTCCCGCCCGTCCAAGCAAGAAATTCATGACGTTTATGAACTTGTAACTATTCACTTGATTTGCTTAGTGAGCTCCCCTCGATTTCAAAATTTACACGATAAACTCTCTTCGGCCGGCAGTACGCTCTCTTTGGATAGCTTCAAATTCTTCTCCTTTAACGTTAGTTGAACTCCCTTCGATACTTCAAATCATCTTCTCTTGAAGACTACAAATTCTTCTCCTGAATAACGTGAAAAATAAATGCTCACAAAATAATATGATCCATTGAAATTTTTGGACTAAAAAAAGGTGCTGAGACCACTAAGAGAATTCAATTAAATAGCCAAAAATTCACTTATCAAAGATCTTCAATGCAGTGCGTTGTCTAACAACTTGTTGCATATTTTGTTGCAACAATTTCTCACGACATAACTGTCAAAAGCTGATCTGAAGGCCAATAATGATGATTCTTGAAATCTTCTCATATAAGACCATACGAACCTTGACGTATTCCTCTGAATCATGGGTAATTCGACTAGCCCAGCAAAATCTCAACCACAAATCAATTATTCCATCAATTTTCAACTTATCAAAAAGGACCAAAAGTTGACCAAATCATATTTCTTCAAAGTAGAAACTTCCCAAAAATGTATATTCTGCAGCAAATCAACTTATAAAACAAATATTCAACAGCAAATCAAATATCTCATCAATTCAACTTTTCAAAAACATTAAAAGTTTACTTTCTCCAAATCAATTTAATTTAATTTATTCTAAATAATTTTCCAAATAAATTGAACTTTCCCGAAACATATCAATAGCTGCAATTCAAACTTAAATCAGATTAATCACCAACACATGCCTAAAATAATGCCAACACCAAAAATTTATTCAATCCGAAATTCCCAACATAAATAAAAGGGTCGACATGTGTTCTAAATCGAACGGTCTCAAATCAGTTTTTTTTCTCTGAACTCAAGTCAGTGACCTTGATGTAGATTTTAGTTATTTTTACTATTTTACTTCAGTTCCTACATTAAAAAGAGAAAAATTATATGTAGAGCTTGTTGTTTCGGTAAAGCAAATTTTTTAATGGTTTGATTAAATTTTAATAGTCTAATTTATAAGTGCGAGTACTTTCATATATTGTGGTGCATTACTTTTAATATATATACTCATAGTTAAGCCATTAAAATTTAGTCGAATGGTTAATAGTTGTGTATATATATTCTATCGGATTTTTAGTACATTTGCGCCCTAAATTTGTCATGGTTTAGTAAATTATTTCGTAAATTTTTAATTTTGATAAGTTGCCCTCTCAACTTATAAAATTGTTATGATACGTCCTATTTTAACGATAATTGTGTTAAATTAGTGTCAGAAAAGTACATTCAACGAAAATTTCAACATCTCAATTTAAATGTAACACAAATATTTTAATTTTTTAACTTTTAATCCTTTAAATCTAATAAAAAAAAGTCTTGAGCAAATTTAGTAAAATATGGCAGATTACAATAAATTTACAAATTCGGAGGGTTGATTGTCAAAATTAAAAATTTAAGAGGTAATTTATTAAACCACAACAAATTCAGGAAACAATTATACTAAAAATCATATTTTATCGGTCCAATATTAGTTCTAATCTCTTAAAACACTTTAATAATTGTAGTCCATGTCTGTTGTCTCAAGCTGGTTGTCCCATTAGTTGTCCCTAATTAATTAAGGATGTGGTTGTTTCACAATTTAAGTTGAGAACTTGAATTGTATATGTGAAAAAAAATTACTGTAGTAAAAAAGTTTAAATTTTAATTTTTGTGAGAGAAAATACTATAATAATAAAACTTAAATTGTGACTTGAGGTGTGAAAATTTTGATACCTCATTTAAAAAAATACACATCAACTAGTATTCACTGACGTTAACAAACGGATAGTCGCTGGTATCAATGGGTTATGAAAAACGGACACATTTAGTTCGTTGATTCGAGTTTTTAATTCGAGTTGATATGTGATTTTATATGAGAGCTTTTTACTGTAGCAAAAAAGTTAGATGTGACGGTTTATGAGAGCTTTTTAATTAATGTCTATTCATCTTTTCTTCTTTTTTCTTTCCATTTTTCACCTCTAGCATAATAGTTACAGAAGCTCCTCGTTCACGGTTTAAAAAAAAAAAAACAACAACAACAATAAAACAGAAATTTACATAGCAGAAACTCTTCCACCAAACTTCAGAGTGAAGAAATTAAGAAACAAGTTAATGATAATATCTATAGAGTAAAGTGCTATTTACGTGGTAAGGATACTAGTATAGTTGACACAATACAGATTTGATATGAAAATAAAATTCAAAGACACAATGTTGGGAAGTTCAAAATGTTTGTAACGTTTTATAAGCTTTAACGGAGCGCATAAAACAGTAAATAACCATTTTTTAAGACGATTCATCACAATTAATAATGTAATATTTCTCATATATGCAGCAACACATTAAACTTGCTCACAAAATAATTGTACTTAGTTTTTTTTTTTTTAAATATTTGCCGCGTAACAACTTGCTTTTAATAAAATAATAACACTATTGGTGATTTATCGCACTATCATTATAAGTAGATGAATAATAGTGCTTTTTTATTAATTGTTTCCACTCATAGAATTTATTATTCATGGAATACAAAAGATAAAAAATATATATATAAATAGAGTTTTTAAAGGAAAAAAAATGATATAAAGTAACATGATAAGAGAAAATGACGTTTATAACATTAAGATTAAAATATTAAAAAATTATACTACTAGAAGTATTTCTTACCCAAATTGTACACTTCATACCGTCAAAATTTTATCAGGTTCTTAAATGTGCAAGTTTTTGTTCTAAGTCAATATGTAATTTTCATTAAAACCACACGCATATATATACACATAGAACGCCTGCCCTAAAACCTCCCTGAAACCTGTATTTAGTTTTCTTGCTGTTGACAGTTTTAGAATCCCTAAACTAGTCTGGCTGGATCCTTATTAACAGCTAAACTTGGCTTTCATGAACTTATCAAATACTAGGTAGTTCATGATTGGATATAGGAATATTCTACGATCAACATAGCGTAGCCAAACATGTATATTTTTCTTGATCAGCAAAAATGTATATGTTATTTCTATTAGTTTACCAATTCATCTTAAAAATTTAAGTTGTTAGGAGGTGGACCAACAATAATTGTATACTTTAACACTCCCCCTCACGTGTAGACTGGACAATGGACAATCATGTGAGTAAATTAATTAGAAAGCTCAACACGTAAATATTTAAACCTGAGATATATTAAAAACTCAACACATTATGACAATTTAAATATTTTAACACTCACGCTCTAATACCATGTTAGTTTACCAATCCATCTCAAAAAATTAAGTTATTAGAAGGTGAGTCAATAATAATTTTATACTTTAACAATTTCATATATATAAACATATACTTTTATATAGCAACCCCGTGTGTGGTTTTTTAATTTGTTCACTTTTCACACAGAAATAATTACCCATATGTCGTTTGGATACATTAAAGAATATACGAACTCGAAAAATAGGAAGATGAATTTACTTCCGCAGCCCCTTTGATTTTTCGCAATTTCCACTTTCCAGCCAAATATTCCTTACATTTTTATCAATATTAAATTAAAGGGACGTTTAATTAAAAAATTTAAACTATAATTTAAATCATTATTCATTATAGTATTTTTTTTATAAAAAATACACATAAATTAAAAATAATTTTAATTACATAATTATAATCTTTAAATTAAACGTATCTTAAGACACTACCAAAGCTGCCCACTTGACGAAAGAGCATGGTCATGAGTATTACGTTACGTTCTATTCTCTCTCTTAAATATTATTTTATCTACTCTCTCGAATATTATTTATTATTTATTCAAAAATATAATACCGGCATATATATATATATATATGTACGCGTGTTTAGAAAGAAAAACGGAACAGAAAGAATTTACAGAGGCACGGCCATTAGTTTGCTTGATTATTGATTAATATTAGTTTTAAATCTATGAATAAATTGAAAATAAAAGGGAAAAAGAAAGAAGTGGATAATTTTTAAGAGGAAAATAATAATTTTATAAACATATTGAGCACTACTTTCAATACGAGGTCTGGAAACACGATCCTCATCTAGCGGATCACAACCTAATTCTCATGTGCTATCC